ATGGGATATTGAGGTAGTTCAGGTATGGGAGGCATATTATGGGATGCTGAGGTAGTTCAGGTATGAGGGCATAGTATGGGATATTTAGGTATTCCAGGTATGATGGCATATTATGTGATATTGGGGTAGTTGAGGTATGGGGGCATATTATGGGATATTGAGGTAGTTCAGGTATGGGAGGCATATTATAGGATATTAAGATAGTTCAGGTATGGGGGGGGCATATTATAGGATATTAAGATAGTTCAGGTATGGGGGGGCATATTATAGGATATTAAGATAGTTCAGGTATGGGGGCATTTTATGGGATATTGAGGTAGTTCAGGTATGGGGCATATTATGGGATATTGAGGTAGTTCAGGTATGGGCGCATATTACATTGAGGTAGTTCAGGTATGGGGGCATATTATGGGATGCTGAGGTAGTTCAGGTATGAGGGCATGTTATAGGATATTAAAATAGTTCAAGTATGGGGGCATATTATGGGATGCTGAGGTAGTTCAGGTATGAGGGCATATTATAGGATATTAAGATAGTTCAGGTATGGGGGCATATTATGGGATATTGAGAGTTCAGGTATGGGGGGGCATATTATAGGATATTAAGATAGTTCAGGTATGGGGGGGCATATTATAGGATATTAAGATAGTTCAGATATGGGGGCATTTTATGGGATATTGAGGTAGTTCAGGTATGGGGCATATTATGGGATATTGAGGTAGTTCAGGTATGGGGGCATAATATGGGACATTGAGGTAGTTCATGTATGGTGGCATATTATGGGATGCTGAGCTGGTTCAGGTTTGGGAGCATATTATGTGATATTGAGGTAGTCCAGGTATAAGGGCATGGTATGGGATAGTAAGGTATTCCAGGTATGATGGCATATTATGGGATGCTGAGGAAGTTCAGGTATGAGGGCATAGTATGGGATATTTAGGTGTTCCAGGTATGATGGCATATTATGTGATATTGAGGTAGTTCAGGTATGGGGGCATATTATGGGATATTGAGGTAGTTCAGGTATGGGGGGCATATTATGGGATGCTGACGTAGTTCAGGTGTGAGGGCATGTTATAGGATATTAAAATAGTTCAATTATGGGGGCATATTATGAGATGCAGAGGTAGTTCAGGTATGAGGGCATATTATAGGATATTAAGATAGTTCAGGTATGGGGGGCATATTATAGGATATTAAGATAGTTCAGGTATAGGGGGGCATATTATAGGATATTAAGATAGTTCAGGTATGAGGGCATAGTATGGGATATTTAGGTATTCCAGGTATGATGGCATATTATGTGATATTGGGGTAGTTGAGGTATGGGGGCATATTATGGGATATTGAGGTAGTTCAGGTATGGGAGGCATATTATAGGATATTAAGATAGTTCAGGTATGGGGGGGGCATATTATAGGATATTAAGATAGTTCAGGTATGGGGGGGCATATTATAGGATATTAAGATAGTTCAGGTATGGGGGCATTTTATGGGATATTGAGGTAGTTCAGGTATGGGGCATATTATGGGATATTGAGGTAGTTCAGGTATGGGGGCATATTATGGGACATTGAGGTAGTTCATGTATGGTGGCATATTATGCGATGCTGAGCTGGTTCAGGTTTGGGAGCATATTATGTGATATTGAGGTAGTCCAGGTATAAGGGCATAGTATGGGATAGTAAGGTATTCCAGGTATGATGGCATATTATGGGATGCTGAGGAAGTTCATGTATGAGGGCATAGCATGGGATATTTAGGTGTTCCAGGTATGATGGCATATTATGTGATATTGAGGTAGTTCAGGTATGGGGGCATATTATGGGATGCTGAGGTAGTTCAGGTGTGAGGGCATGTTATAGGATATTAAAATAGTTCAAGTATGGGGGCATATTATGGGATGCTGGAGTAGTTCAGGTATGAGGGCATATTATAGGATATTAAGATAGTTCAGGTATGGGGGCATATTATGGGATATTGAGAGTTCAGGTATGGGGGGTCATATTATAGGATATTAAAATAGTTCAGGTATGGGGGGGCATATTATAGGATATTAAGTTAGTTCAGGTATGGGGCATATTATGGGATATTGAGGTAGTTCAGGTATGGGGGCATATTATGGGACATTGAGGTAGTTCAGGTATGGGGGCATACTATGGGATGCTGAGGTAGTTCAGGTATGAGGGCATGTTATAGGATATTAAAATAGATCAAGTATGGGGGCATATTATGGGATGCTGAGGTAGTTCAGGTATGAGGGCATATTATGGGATATTGAGGTTGTTCAGGTATGGGGGCATATTATGGGATACTGAGGTAGTTCAGGTATGGGGGGCATATTATGTTATATTGAGGTTGTTCAGGTATGAGGGCATATTATGGGATGCTGAGGTAGTTCAGGTATGAGGGCATATTATGGGATATTGAGGTAGTTCAGGTATGGGGGCATATTATGGGATACTGAGGTATTTCAGGTATGGGGGCATATTATGGGATATTGAGGTAGTTCAGGTATGAGGGCATATTATGGGATATTGAGGTAGTTCAGGTATGAGGGCATATTATGGGATATTGAGGTAGTTCAGGTATGGGGGCATATTATGGGATACTGAGGTAGTTCAGGTATGGGGGGCATATTATGTGATATTGAGGTTGTTCAGGTATGAGGGCATATTATGGGATGCTGAGGTAGTTCAGGTATGAGGGCATATTATGAGATATTGAGGTAGTTCAGGTATGGGGGCATATTATGGGATACTGAGGTAGTTCAGGTATGGGGGGCATATTATGTGATATTGAGGTTGTTCAGGTATGAGGGCATATTATGGGATGCTGAGGTAGTTCAGGTATGAGGGCATATTATGGGATATTGATATAGTTCAGGTATGGGGGCATATTATGGGATACTGAGGTAGTTCAGGTATGGGGGGCATATTATGTGATATTGAGGTTGTTCAGGTATGAGGGCATATTATGGGATGCTGGGGTAGTTCAGGTATGAGGGCATATTATGGGATATTGATGTAGTTCAGCTATGGGGGCATATTATGGGATATTGAGGTAGTTCAGGTATGGGGGCATATTATGGGATATTGAGGTACTTCAGGTATGGGGGGTATTATTATCTGATACTGAGGTAGTTCAGGTATGGGGGCATATTATGGCATACTGAGGTAGTTTAGGTATGGGGGGCATATTATGTATTATTGAGGTTGTTCAGGTATGAGGGCATATTATGGGATGCTGAGGTAGTTCAGGTATGGGGCATATTATGGGACATTGAGGTAGTTCAGGTATGGGGGCATATTATGGGATGCTGAGGTAGTTCAGGTATGAGGGCATATTATGGGATATTGAGGTTGTTCAGGTATGAGGGCATATTATGGGATATTGAGGTTGTTCAGGTATGGGGGCATATTATGGGATATTTTGGTAGTTCAGGTATGGGCGGCATATTATGGGATATTTTGGTAGTTCAGGTATGGGGGCACATTATGTGATATTGAGATTGTTCAGGTATGGGGGCATATTATGGGATACTCAGGTAGTTCAGGTATGGGCGGCATATTATGTGATATTGAGGTTGTTCAGGTATGAGGGCATATTATGGGATACTGAGTTAGTTCAGGTATGGGGGGCATATTATGTTATATTGAGGTTGTTCAGGTATGAGGGCATATTATGGGATACTGAGGTAGTTCAGGTATGGGCGGCATATTATGTGATATTGAGGTTGTTCAGGTATGAGGGCATATTATGGGATACTGAGTTAGTTCAGGTATGGGAGGCATATTATGTGATATTGAGGTTGTTCAGGTATGGGGGCATATTATGGGATGCTGAGGTAGTTCAGGTATGAGGGCATATTATGGGATATTGAGGTAGTTCAGGTATGGGGGCATATTATGGGATACTGAGGTATTTCAGGTATGAGGGCATATTATGGGATATTGAGGTAGTTCAGGTATGGGGGCATATTATGTGATATTGAGGTTGTTCAGGTATGAGGGCATATTATGGGATATTGAGGTTGTTCAGGTATGGGGGGCATATTATGGGATATTGAGGTTGTTCAGGTATGGGGGCATATTATGGGATACTGAGGTAGTTCAGGTATGGAGGCATATTATGGGATATTGAGGTGGTTCAGGTATGGGGGCATATTATGGGATACTGAGGTAGTTCAGGTATGGGGGCATATTATGGGATATTGAGGTAGTTCAGGTATGGGGGGCATATTATGGGATACTGAGGTAGTTCAGGTATGGGAGCATATTATGGGATACTGAGGTAGTTCAGGTATGGGAGCATATTATGGGATACTGAGGTAGTTCAGGTATGGGGACATATTATGGGATATTGAGGTAGTTCAGGTATGGGAGCATATTATGGGATACTGAGGTAGTTCAGGTATGGGGACATATTATGAGATATTGAGGTAGTTCAGGTATGGGGGGCATATTATGGGATACTGAGGTAGTTCAGGTATGGGGACATATTATGAGATATTGAGGTAGTTCAGGTATGGGGGGCATATTATGAGATATTGAGGTAGTTCAGGTATGGGGGGCATATTATGAGATATTGAGGTAGTTCAGGTATGGGGGGCATATTATGGGATACTGAGGTAGTTCAGGTATGGGGACATATTATGGGATATTGAGGTAGTTCAGGTATGGGGGCATATTATGGGATATTGAGGTGGTTCAGGTATGGGGGTCATATTATGGGATATTGAGGTTGTTCAGGTATGGGGGGGCATATTATGGGATATTGAGGTGGTTCAGGTATGGGGGGCATATTATGGGATGCTGAGGTGATTTCTTTCTGTTGTTATTATGGGATGCCATTCTCCCTCTGGTTATTATGGGATGTCAGGCTCCCTCCTGCTACTGTGGGATGTCAGGGTTATTATGGGATGTCAGGCTCCCTCCTGTTGCTATGGGATGTCAGGCTCACTCAGGTTATTATGGGATGGCGAGCTTGGGGTTATTATGGGATGGCCGGCTCGCTGAGGTTATTATGGGATGGCCGGCCGCCCGTCTCCAGGGTAACGCACTGGTCACCTTGGTAACGGGGCGGGCCCAGGGAAGGGGCGGAGTCTCCACCATCACTGCCGGTGTCCAGGAGCGGGAGGATCCACCGCGCGAGACCGAGGAAGCCAGCGAGCCGTGAACTGTCCGCGCGACCCAGGGACCTACCGTGCGAGAGTTGGACGGATCCCGGTCAGTGTGCGTATTACTGACCCCGACAGCCCCACATACCGGCTCCCTGACCCGAAATACTGCCCTAAATACCCCACACCGGCTCCCTGACCCGAAATACTGCCCTAAATACCCCACACCGGCTCCCTGACCCGAAATACCCCCACATAAACCCGAATTCTGCCCTAAATACCCCACAGCGGCTCCCTGACCCGAAATACCCCCACATAAACCCGAATACTGCCCTAAATACCCCACACCGGCTCCCTGACCCGAAATACTGCCCTAAACCCCACACCGGCTACCCGAAATACTGCCCTACCCCACACCGGCTCCCTGACCCGAAATACCCCCACATAAACCCGAATTCCGATAAACCCGAATACTGCCCTAAATACCCCACACCGGCTCCCTGACCTGAAATACCCCACATAAACCCGAATACTGCCCTAAACCGGCTGACCCGAAATGACCCGAAATACCCCCACATAAACCCGCCCTAATACCCCACACCGGCTCCCTGACCCGAAATACCCCCACATAAACCCGAATACTGCCCTAAATACCCCACAGCGGCTCCCTGACCCGAAATACCCCACACCGGCTCCTTAATCCGAAATACCCCCCACATAAACCCGAATACTGCCCTAAATACCCCACACCGGCTCCCTGACCTGAAATACCTCCACATAAACCCGAATACTGCCCTAAATACCCCACACCGACTCCCTAACCCTAAATACCCCTACCCAGGAACCTCACCCCCACATATACCAGATTAATGCCCTAAATACCCCAACCCAGGGACCTCTCCCCCACATATACCCGATTACTGCCGTCAATACCCCACACCACTTCATAAGCCTTAAAAATACCCTGAAATCAACCGTGTACACCCACACACCGGCTCCTTAACCCCTATATAACCTGCCGAGGGACTTCAGCCCCGAAATACCCCACACCAGGATATATAGGGGTATTTTTCCCCCTATATACCCCACACCAGGTATTTAACCCCCTATATACCCCACACTGGCTATTTAACTACTAAATTCAGTGTGGCACCCACACCGGCTACTTAATCCTTAAATACACCCCCAAAATATCTCACAGCAGCTCCTTAAACCCTATAATACAAACACAGGCTCATAAACCCCTAAATACGCCACAACAGCTATTTGATCCCTGAATACACCCTGTAACCCCCGCACTGACTTATTAACCCCTAAATACCTCACACTGGCTCTCTAACCCCTAAACACCCCACACTGACTCCTGAACCCCCAAATACTACTCTAAATAGCTCATACCGTGACCCATAAATGCACCCTGTAACCCACACACTGGCACATCAACCCCTAAATATACTGTGTAACCCCCACACACTGGCTACATAACCCCAAAATACCACACATCAGGTACTCGATTCCTAAATATACTGTGTAACCTCTGCACCCACTTCTTAACCCTCAAATACCATACATATGGTCTTCGATCCCTAAATACACACTGTAACCCAAACACAGGCTTCTCAACCCATAAATATACTGTGTAACCCCTAACCAGCTCATTGGCCTTTAAGTAGTATAACCCACACACCAGTTCCCGTGAGTCCCTAAATTCACCTTATAACACCCACAGAAGCTCATCAACCCCCATGCCGCCTTAGCCACCCCTAAATACACCCTGTAACCTTTAAGTATTGTAACTCTCACTCCCTTTCTTTGAACCTCTAAATACATCCTGTAACCCCACATGGTTCTCTAACCCCTAAATACGCTATGTAACCACCACTCTGGATCTGTAACTTTTAAATATACTGTTTAACACCCACCCAGGCTCCTTGACCAATGAATACACCGTGTAACCCCTACACAGCTCCTTAACCCCTAAATACACTGGGTTACCCCAACATAGGCTCCTTAATGCCCAAATACACCAAGTAACAATACCTAAATACACCTTTTAACCATATATTGGGAACCTTAATCCCTACAGACTGTAAAACCCCACAGAGGCGCTTTAAACACTTATATATCTGGTCACCCTCTTTACAGGTACCTTTATCCCTAAATGCATTCTGTATCCTCCTACACAGACTATTTGACCCATAAATGCACTCTACCCCCCTTACAGGCACCTTTATACTCAAGTACACCCTGTAATGACGCCCATACATGTGTATTATTTACTAAATACACCCTGTAACTCCCTATCTGTATAGATGCACATTATCTACTCCTCTAATACTCTCCTATAGTGGCACCTTACTACATTTTCCCTGAATACACAACTCCATTAGATACATTTTATCCCATAATTCCTGAACTTACTAAATGTAGTAAGGTGCCACTATAGAACCCTTAAACCCAATATTTACACGCTATTCTGAACCTACAAAATACATGCTTTAACCCCCTATATACACATCCCTATAAAAACCATATAACTTGTATGTCGGCTTCTTAGCCCCAGTATACACCCTGTTTTATCCTACGAAGGCATGTAAGCCCCCTTTTCCATAAATTATGCTGTATACTCATTGCAGCCCTTTTCCCAAAAGGCCTTGCCCATTAAATGTTCATCTATAACCCAGATATCCCTGCAACTTCCTGCTTCTCTACTTTATTCCCACAACCCTGTAACTCATATGCTGGAACTTTGGCTTCCAGACACACACAAATACCCTCAAGTCACCTATCCAAGCACTTTTAGATACACATTAACCTATTGAATTGCCAACTAACCCCATCTAGTGTAGTAATCTGTTCAGTTGCAGCATAGATTATATAGATATGTTACCCCCTATAACTTGTACCCTATTGTCCAGGTAAATTAACACCTTTTGTGATCAGCTGTTGAGTATATAAATACCCAAGTACTGGTTGCTGCCATGTATTGAGTGGCACATGTTACCCATCTACGTGACCTCTACAGATCCCACGTGATTTGCTATCTAGGGACATTAACCCTTTAAGTAGTTTGTAAACGAACAATGCAGGGGCATTGTCCATATGGGTGCTGCGTCATCTCCAATCCATGACAATTCCTCCTTATATTAAGAATATTTTTGTCCTCCATGTATGTTGACATTACCTATGTAGATACAGTGTATCATCTTGCCATGATACATTAACCCTCATAGAGTTGCTTTATTCGTAGTTTGAACCCCACAAAATAGGGACGGAAACTCTCACAGGAAACCATCTCCAGACTAATTGACCCCCATAGATTGGTAACCTCAGTCAGGTACTTTATTGCGTAATACTCTAATCTAGCCGGATTCCCCCATCAATGCCATATAGGAACATTTGCTGGCACTATATAATTACTGATTTACTTTAATTACTATATTTACAAAGACGCAGCATAATCCTAAACATTCTCTACCCCTATATTCTATCACAATTTTGTTAATTTATGTTTTAATTACCTTGAATGCCTAGCTGCTGGAGGAGATTCACATTTGTGTACATATATTCTACAAAACACCACTATGCAAATGGGATGTTTGATCATGTAGTTTTAAACCAGTTCTATGTCTTAAATCTATATAATATTCACATGGCATTCACACAATATTGCTTTTCTTGGCTAAGATACAGCAAACATGGGGGGAGCTCTTGAGGTGCTATAAATGGTTTCATAATTTATTGTTGGATATAGAAGGCCTGGCTCACATGCCTGTGTTATGTTCTTAAGACACTGAACACACCAGTATATTATGTTAGTAGTTCTGTTCGCCTCAGCCCATCTGTGAAGGTGATATCCTTATATTTTACCTAGAGTCTATTGAACCCTGCCCACAAGCTATGTTTGTTTACATTTTCCCCAAATTTTAGGCTATTGAATTCAGTGATGAGCCTACACTGTAATGCCAGGGGATTTTTACCTCCTGGTGAGGTTTGTAAATACTCCTCCCCCATGCATTGTGGGGGTAGGGAGGGTTTGAGGATGGCTGACAGTCCAGTGGTTATTACGCTAGCTCATGACTGTGACATTCTAGATTGACAACCTTGTATTCTCATTGCAGCCCTCTCCCTGGCACTACGCACTGATCATTGGAGTCCTCTTTCCTGTGCTTGTCACTACCCTGTGCCACTTGATTTCTTAATATGGCTTCCTCGCCAGGCAGCGAAGGAGAAATTGAAGTAATGCTGAACAGCAGCCTCCACCAAGGTAGGAAGTGCCAGATTGTTTGCTTGCTGCCATGTATTGAGTGGTGTGACTAAAGGAAAAAAATTCAGAGATGTGTAATGGTGCCCAGTGTACTCTTATTACAAGTCTTAAAACGGATCAATAAACTGATTTTAGTAGCAGTTATATCTTATAACACAGAAAGTCTATGCTTTATGTACTAGGTGTTGCTAGTGGAGCAGCTGCTACAGGGTCAAAAATGTTTCATCCGTGCCCATGCATCTACATCATCTTCTGGTGGTCTTTCCTAAAGGAACATGGAGATTACGGACTACGGGTGGGGGAGCTTTGTAGATCATTCTAATAGGATATGGGTGCAGGGATATAATCTCCATGTTTACTAGTGCCTTCTGAGAGGGTACAGAGAAGTTTTCTTATTTCAGATGCACAGATCTCTGCTCCACATCCAAAGTGCAGAAACAGGAACCATAAACGGGAATATAACGTTAACAGTGGCCCTCAGGCTGTATCGGTGCTTTCTGAATTGCGAGCAGAGGAAAAGATTGTCAGTCCACAAAGACCACTTGCTCCCTCAGTAGACTGACAGAATTTGGACCTTGTACCCATTTTCCCCACAACAAATCTCCAACAGGGGTTCCTTACCCCAGACAGGAACATATGAATCCCTTGTAAATACAGTAACACACAATTGAAGCATATGGTAGCAATCAGGGTTTCCAGCTGCAGTAACAGCACTGAGACAGGATAGTTACACTAATGATTCAGAACTCCAAGTAAATCAATATAATTCTACAATTTGTGTGTAGCATGAATGCTTACGAAATTGATATCTATCTATCTTCTCCTGGAACACTAAATAAAATGTGCCTGTATATATTTAGGGGCATCAGATCTCCCCCCTTGGGGAGGTTGGTTTGGGGATTTTGTTTGCCTTACTATAACTGCACAGCAGTTTATAACATTATTATTATTATTGCCATTTATAAATAGCGCCAACAGATTCCGTACTGCTTTACAAAGTTATGAGGGGGATTGAACTATAAATAGGACAATTACAAGAAAACTTACTGAAACGATAGGTTGAAGAGGACCCTACTCAAATGAGCTTAGTCTATAGACCTTACTGTATATTCCTACTCCCGTGCAGCTTATAAAGAAGGCAGACTGTAAGCTGAATGTGAACTTATTTGAATTTCCACTCTTAAAATGATGTAGAAGTGACATCAGATGTATTTAAAAAATATCTAACGAGAGAATGAGAACTGTTATGCACAGCAGCAATCTTAAGAGGACGCTTTAAAAAAAAGTATGCTTATTATAAAAATCCTTTCAGTGTAAGAATCCTATAAAGTTGCTCTAATTTTGCTTTGGCCCTGCATTGCTGCTTTGCGTGTTAGTGCATTGTGACAAAGTTATAACTCTTTATTTTGTATTTTGAATTAATCTGATGTCTGTACTTCCTGGATCATGCACACTTTAACTGTCTCACTTTATTTTTATATTACTCTTTAGTGCCTTTTTTTTTTTTTTTGACTGGTTTTCAAACTTCCACAAGCTTGTAAATAAATGACAGGTCAGGCTTACATTAATTTCCTACTTTAAAACAGGAAAAATAATCAGTGGCTCCGTTGTTTTTCTTTACAATCCTCAAATCCTGACCTTTTTTAGGTTAGCTTTTCAATTACAATTTAAACCAGCAATGTTCTGATAGATTTACATAATATGCAATAAATATATCACAATGGGAAAGCTGTGCCCACATTGTTTCTAAAGCTTAAGCTGATCGACATTTTATTAAAGGAACACTCAGAAACCATAACAACAACAGTATGTTGTGTTGGTTATGGTGCCCTGGTGCAAACAGTTGACTTTGTATCAGGTGCCAAAAGGGGTTTCAGTTCCTGCATCTTCTTGCATCTGGAATCTCATAGTGCAGGGTTTAGCTCAGAGGCTGGGAGCGACCAGCTGATTCTGGGACCTGACACCAAACTGCTACCACTCACTGTAGTGGTTCTGGTGCTTGGATGTTCAGCTATTTGTATATTTACTACATTAAAACCAATGAAACACTTAACCCTTTTTTTTTTTTTTTAATTCACAAACCTCAACTCAGGTCTTGAATGCAAAATCTTTAAATTCTTACTTGAAGCTGCCTCACTACCTCATATCCTGTGAAAGTTTTAAATGAACCTGTGCAGTTGTGGTCCAATTTATCAGCAAAAAATTTGAAATGTCTTCATTCTGCTGCTAACTTTGAAGGGGTTACGTTATGTGTTTGCCGTTTTCCACTCTGCAGTGGGATTATTGGTTGTTTAAATCATGGTTCTTACATGAAGTTTGATGCTCCATTTTACTTACAAATGATGCTTTGATCCATATTTCTAACCCTAATGTCCATAAATGATCCATATTTCTAACCCTCAAGTTATGTTGGTGACTTCTGTCATGCTGGGGTTTTGGTTCCACATTGCAGAATTGGGAATGGGATTTAGAATCCAGGTCATAGGGATATCAGATATACATTTTGTATAAACCTTTTCTGGTCTCGACTGTGGCAGGTTGGATTTACCAAACATTTGGTACATACTTGATGCTTAACCTAGTGTTAGGAAGGCTGTCTAAGATCTAACACATTGTGGCATTTTGTTTTCGGGAAATAATTATGGTTTGGTCTTTTTCTTTGTTTGCAATTGGTCACAATAATCTGTATAAACTGAAATCTGGCTCTGCTTAGAGACTGCAATGACAGCCTGTTGTATATGCACATAGATTGGATTTACTCTATCCCTCTGCTGTCTGTAAAATATGGAGTTGAGGGGGTCTTTTGGAAACCATATAACAGTCTATGGTTTGTCTGCTGTCCATCTCTGAGACCGCAGAATCACAGCTAGGGGATGTGAGAGGCCCCACTTTTTTTCTTTTTTTTTTCTTTTTTTTTTTTTTTAAAGCAAATAGTAACTTTGTACATTAGCAGGAATATAGTAGGTAGGCTGTGCGGCACTAGTCTTTAGGTGGGTATTTTATGAGAATGTTGTACTAGTTAAAAATACAATGCCTATATGTGCATCTTATCTGCTCTGATGCTAATTTCTGTCATAAGATGACTAATGGTTTTTTGGAGAGGACTACACATTTATTGGGATAAAAGAGCCAGATTTTATATCTGCCATAATGCTTCAGACTTTTAATTGTAGAGCGCAGACAGGAGTACATTGGCCTGTTCCTGTGGTATTTGAAGGCTCCTTGTGTGTTGTCTTTGTGGTGCTGCCATCTTGTCAAAGTGTAAAGTAAAGCAGCCATTAACTGTCCTGTCCTAAAGAAACAAAAGCTCCCCCTCCTGCTCTGAGATGTGCGTGTGCATTGTGGGCGTGTAGTGAAACACTTTCCCTCCCACTCCTCGTGCTCTCTCTCCAGATCTGGGCTTCCCCCCTCCCTACCCTTAAACTCCTGGGGAATCCTAGTTTCTGCCCTTGTTGCTGTGTGTGCCTGTCCTTCTGTCCCTGTACGTCTGCCTCTATTGTCCCCTGTGTATGATTGCCCGTGTCTCTCTCTTCCTGTGTCATTTGTTATCTAAAAATGACCCATCATTCTATCTGTGCTTGTGTCAGTCTGCTTTGTTTCCTTCTTTTCACTCTATCTGCCCCTCCCCCCATGTGGGTTGCTGTTTCTGCCATGTGTCTCGGCTTTTGTTCTCATGCACTGGATTTGTTATGACTCCTGCAGGCCTTGCACATGATTAGCTTCCCTGAAGGCCGAAACCCTGTGCACTGTCTCCACTTACCTTTGTGGTCTTCTCTTATCTTCAGGTTTAGATCTAGGAATGGTTTTTCCTTACATACTTGGTGATCCCTCTGCATTCCTCTTGTATCTAAACATGATCTCTAGAGAAAAAGGCCTTGTCTTATGCACAGTCATGGCTATTTAGGAAAGTGAGATATGTTGGGAATGCAAAGCAAATTAAAGTCCAAAATAGCCAAATTTGAAAAATTCTACAAGTCTGATATGCCTTAGGTTGTCCTAGAATTGTAAATTCAGTTTGAATTCACAAGTCTACAAATTCACACATTAGTAGATGACCAAAAATGAAAAACCTATTGTGACATGCAAATAACTTTACAAATTATAACATTTACTTTCAATTACTGGCAATCCACACTTTAGTGAATAATTGTTAGCCTGACCAAATTTCCTGTTCTTCGGTATGGGACAGGCAGTTCAAGTGCCTGTGCATTTCTAGAAGTCTGAGTGAACAGAAGAGAATTGTGGCATCCATTTGTGTGTCTTGTCATGGCTCTCCAGTGCTCAGGGGTGCACCCTGTCAGATGTCAGAGTGTGACTGTATCCTTTACTTTCAGATGATGATGATCTGGATGACGATCTCTCAGAGGTGGAAACTCCCAAAATAAAGAAAAAGAAGAAACCCAAAAAAGCAAAAGAATCTAAGACCCCCAAAGGAAAGAGACAAAAAAAGGAGGTGAGCAGAAATGCGTTAAGCATCAGAATACGTAACCCACGCTGGGGCTTGTGCTGTGTATTGGTAGGGGTGGGGGTTGTAGGGCTTACCATGCCATTTAAAAAAAAAAAAAAAAAAAATTAAAAATTTTTTTTTTTTGGTTGAAGGAGGGATTGTGTTGGTGGGGTTCCCATGATTTGTTTGGTGTAGAGCGTGTCAGCATGTCTTTATTGGAATCTTTACTCATTACTTTATCTGTTAGGAAGTGGATGATAGCTCAGGGGAAGCCAATGATTTTGGCGAAGATGATGGAGGACCTGTTCGTTCAGATAGTGAAGGCAGTGATTACACCCCTGGCAAGAAAAAGAAGAAGAAGCTGGGACAGAAGAAGGAAAAGAAAACCAAGGTGAAGCGAGAGGAAGAAGATGATGAGGATGACGACTCCAAGGTTAGTGTTATGGGTGGCTCGTGTTGCTATTTGTCACATTTAGACTGGGAACTGTGCCAAAACACTGGATATTTCCAAAAATGGGCCTTAACCCACATAGTAGGGATCGGCCGATATTCGGTATTTTCGGCAATATCGGTATCGGCCAATTCTGATACTGATATTGCTGATAATACCTCCTAGGACCGTGGGGGGGCGCTTACTCACCTCCCAGCAGCTGGAGGAGCTGCTGGTAAGTAAGCGCTTGCTCTCCGCCCCCCCCCAGCTCAGCCAATACCACTGGACCACCAGGGACTGCTATATCCCCCCTCCCTGGCCAGGTAACAAGCAGGGAGGGGGGACAACAAAAATAAATAAATAATTAAATATAAAAAATAATAATAATTTAATAAAAAATGCCCCCTCACACACTCCATTATATACACATACACTACACAAACACACTGTGTATATAATGCGCTGTGTGTGTGTATACAATGCACACAAACACATACTGCATTACATATACACACACACTATACAAACACTATATAATGCAGTGTGTGTATATAATGTAGTGTTTATATAATGCACACTGCATTATATACACTACACAAATACACACTCTGCATTCATTATATATACACACTTTGCATTTAGTATATAACACATTCACTTTACGCACACTACCCACACACTACACTAATACACACTGCTTCCACTACACACACTAGACAAATACACACTGCATCCACTACACACACATTGCATCCTCCACACACTCTGCATCCACTACACAAACACACACAGCTCCCCTGTCACACTGCATCCACTACACGTGGCATGTATATTTTGTGCATTTACCTTTAGAAATATTTTTTTTCCAAAATGGTAAATGTACAGAATATCGGCAAATTATATCGGCTATCAGCCTGAAAGTTCACAGAATATCGGTATCGGCTCTTAAAAATCAATCTCGGTCGATCCCTACCACATGGTAAATACTCCTATAGGTGGACCATACCAAGACTCTTGAGAATCACCCACAATGTCCTATGAAAACCTCAAAATGATTTACAGTTCTGCTCAGATTTGGGGGATGGTTCAATAATACTGTCATGGAATTTACATCTCTCTCATTTGTCAAAGGAACCCAAATCTTCTGGTCAGCTTCTAGAAGATTGGGGTATGGAAGATATCGACCATGTGTTCACGGAGGACGATTATCGTACACTGACCAACTACAAGGCTTTCAGTCAGTTTGTCAGGTATGCTCCTGTTCTACAATTTGCAAAATTGTAATACGTTTCTTATCTTCTCTGCATTTAAAAATCTTTCCCTTTCTTTTCAGACCTCTCATTGCAGCCAAGAATCCAAAGATTGCAGTCTCCAAGATGATGATGGTCTTAGGAGCTAAATGGAGAGAATTCAGTACCAATAACCCCCTGAAGGGCATCTCAGGAGCTTCTGTGGCAGCAGCTGCGGCTGCAGCTGTGGCGGTAGTAGAAAGTATGGTGGCAACGAATGAAGTAGTTGCACCCCCTCCACCACCACCTGAAGTTCCCCTTCGTAAAGCAAAGACTAAGGAAGGCAAAGGTCAGCCAACACACTTTGTGTTTTAAGGAGGGTTTAGTGGAGTAGCACTTAGATTTGTTTAGAGTGCTGGTCTTTAACACTGGCTGGATGTGAGCTGTGTTAACTAGTTTAGAAATCAAGCTTGTTTATTGTCTCTTAGGGCCCAATGCCAGGAAAAAACCAAAGACTGTCAAACCAGCAGAAGTGAAGAAACCAAAAGCCAAGAAAGTGGCTCCACTAAAAATTAAACTCGGTGGTTTTGGTTCAAAACGCAAACGTTCTTCGGTAAGCAGCTGATTACGGTCTATAAAATGAAGGGTATGTGTTTCATATATGGATATATTGGCCTAATACACTGTTGCTTCTTCCTCTTAGAGTGAAGAGGATGATCTTGAAGTGGAGTCTGATTATGATGAAGGCAGCATGAACAGCCTGTCTGTATCTGATGGGTCCACCAGTAAAAGCAGCCGTAGCCGAAAGAGACTAAGAGCCAGCAAGAAGAAGAAGAAAGGTTAGAACACAAACATATAGTACCTATGTTCTACTAAGGTTCAGAAATCATTGTTGGTCTTATCCTGAATTGCTCTTCTTACAGGTGAGGAGGAAACACAAGTAGGAGGCGGGGATGGATATGAAACAGATCATCAAGACTACTGTGAGGTGTGCCAACAGGGTGGAGAGATCATCTTGTGTGATACATGCCCTCGTGCTTATCATATGGTTTGTCTGGATCCTGACATGGACAAGGCTCCAGAGGGCAAATGGAGTTGCCCACACTGTGTAAGTGAAGGAAGTGTGTGAGAGAGCATGGCGGCCGGTCCATGAACTGAGACACACATAATATGTGTAAAGCCATCTCTGGGAGGAGAGGTGGTTTGCAAAATGTGGTTGAGAGAATGTTGGGGCGTGGTGTGTGTGTGTGTGTTCCTTTTCAAATTATCTGAAAGAAGCTTTGGTTCCAGTAGTATTCATATGTAACAGAAAGCTGGAGGTTTTTGAAGAGGGGTGATATCCCAGTTCTCAGGGAGAAGTGGGGGAAGAGGCAGTGACATATGTCGGCTTTAGCTTTTTGTGTAAAAAGACCAAGAGATCGGTATGGCACCCTATGGACTGATGGCACTCTTTTCTGTATGTTAGGAGAAAGAGGGAGTTCAATGGGAAGCAAAGGAGGATAATTCAGAATGTGATGAAGATTTGGATGATGGTGGAGGAGATCCAGAGGAGGAAGATCACCACATGGAGTTCTGTCGTGTTTGTAAGGATGGTGGGGAGCTGCTTTGTTGTGACACCTGCCCCTCCTCCTACCACATCCATTGTCTCAACCCACCTTTGCCAGAGATACCCAATGGAGAATGGCTGTGCCCGCGTTGCACTGTGAGTATTGCGTTACTTTTCAAATTTTTCACTATCTTTTTAGCTACGTCCTGATGGATAACTATATTTTTATGTCTTTCCAGTGTCCTTCTTTGAAGGGTAAAATCCAAAAAATATTGATTTGGAAGTGGGGGCAACCTCCACCCCCTACTCCTGTTCCACGACCTGCAGGTTTGGATCCTCATACTCCTTCCCCAAAACCTTTAGAGGGTCGTCAAGAGCGAGAATTCTTTGTCAAATGGCAAGGAATGTCCTATCTACACTGTTCCTGGGTGACAGAACTCCAGGTAAAATTGTGTATGCATTATATATGTGAGGTTTTTTTTTTTTTTTTGTTTTTTGTTTTTTTCTTTCATCTGTGTAAAGTATCTTAAGTAATATCTATAGCTAGAGATTAGAAGCTAGCTAGATTGCTCTCATTCAGCTCAAAAGCATTCTGACCTCTGGCTTCCTTTCTTAGCTAGAGCTGCACTGCCAGGTTATGTTTCGTAACTACCAGAGGAAGAATGATATGGATGAGCCACCCGCTGGTGATTATGGTGTAGATGAAGAAGAAAAGAGCCGTAAAAGGAAAAACAAAGATCCTAAATATCTGGAGATGGAAGAAAAATTTTATCGTTATGGAATCAAGCCAGAGTGGATGATGATTCACCGTGTATTAAATCATAGGTAGGCATTCAGTTTCCTATTCTAAATCTAGATTAGAGGGTCTTTATGTTAAAATATAAGGGCTATGGGCAATGGTCATCTGAACACCATTAATGCTGTCCTTTTTACTTATTCATAGTATTGATAAGAAGGGTAATGTTCATTATCTGATCAAGTGGAGGGATCTGGCATATGACCAGGCATCCTGGGAGCTAGAAGATGCTGATGTTCAGGATTTTGACATGTACAAACAAGGCTACTGGAATCACAGGTAGGTTTCCATGAGGCCAGGTTCCTTTTAGTATGTTAAATGTTCCTTAACTACATTTTGTACAGTTTTAAGTGGGGTTTTTTTTTTTTTTTTTCTATCCAAACTTGCAGAGAGCTAATGTGTGGGGATGAAGGTCGTCCTGGAAAGAAGATAAAGAAAATGAAACATCGCAAACTGGAACGTCCCCCTGACACACCTACTGTTGATGTAAGTTACTAAATAATGAGGGGGATTGGTGAATCTTAAGTTTCTGTAGCTTCACTCATCTACTTTGTCCTCAGCCCACAGTGAAGTACGATCGGCAGCCAGAGTACTTGGACATTACAGGAGGCACTCTTCACCCTTACCAGCTGGAAGGTCTTAATTGGCTGCGCTTCTCTTGGGCACAAGGCACAGATACTATCCTGGCTGATGAGATGGGTTTAGGCAAAACTGTTCAGACCGCAGTGTTTCTGTATTCCTTATATAAAGAGGTGAATAACTACAATGTCCTTTATTCTTCTGCCCAGCCACTTGTCATTCAGACTTTTTTTTTTTTTCTCTTTTAATATTAACTCCTTATGTCCCCCCTATGATTGATCTAGTCCTGCCACCAGTGATACCAATTGTGCTTTTCTTCTTCAGGGTCATTCAAAGGGTCCATTCCTGGTTAGTGCTCCACTCTCCACAATTATTAATTGGGAGCGTGAATTTGAAATGTGGGCCCCCGATATGTACGTGGTCACATACGTTGGTGACAAAGACAGCCGTGCAGTCATCAGAGAAAATGAGTTCTCATTTGAAGACAACGCCATCCGGGGTGGAAAGAAAGCTTCTCGTATGAAGGTAAGCAACCTATAACTTTCCGTTACTTGGCTAGAACGTTTATTTTTGTGCCATGCTGACCTGAGCGTATACCACAGAAAGAAGCATCTGTGAAGTTCCATGTCCTCCTCACATCGTATGAATTGATCACCATTGACATGGCTGTACTTGGATCTATAGACTGGGCCTGCCTGGTGGTTGATGAAGCTCACCGTCTAAAAAATAATCAGTCCAAGGTAATGTGTGTGTGTATATGTACACATCTTGTTTTAGGTGCCATCCCTGTCTTCTCATTTCTCTCTGGTTGTTTGCTCAGTTTTTCAGGGTTCTGAATGGATACACACTGCAACACAAGCTTCTTCTCACAGGAACCCCACTGCAGAACAACCTGGAGGAACTGTTTCACCTGCTCAATTTCCTCACACCAGAGAGATTTAAGTATGTTGAACAGCAAGTCTTAAGAACTAAAACATTGTTTTTAGGATTGTTATTACTGACCGGTTAGGCATTGTGAAATGTTCTGATATGTAACCGTGCTCGATAAACATGGATTCTGTTTCTGCTCCCCAGATAGAGAATCCACTTTTAGCAGCTGTTAAAGGGGAATTGTCACTTTTCTGATCTGTAGATGGTAAATAGATGTTATGTGTTTCTGATAGAGACAGGAAATATATATTTTATTTGACCACAAGAGGCAGTAGATGAAGGTGAATGGCTTAAATGCTTTGTGATCCAGGAGGAAGGACCAGTGGCGTACTAAGGGGGGCCGGGGGGGGCGGTCCGCCCCGGGTGCCAGCGGATTGGGGGGTGCCATGACCAGGGGCGCCCTCCCCCCCCATCCTGCAGCCGCCCGAGCGCTCTGTAGTGAGCCTCAGGCGGCTGCAGCTTTGCCCGGGTGGTGCGTCCATGAAGGCGGACCGCACCGCCCGGGCGCAGCATGGGGAGAGGCTGACAGGAGGGAAGCGCTGAGCGCTCCCTCCTGTCACTCCCTCTCTAGCGTGGCCGAGCCCAGTATAGTCCGCGGGTACAGGGAGCAGCTGTCTCCTGTACCCGGCCGGACTAACAGGAAGTGCACACAGTGTGTTCACTTCCTGTTAGTCCGGCCGGGTACAGGAAACAAAAGCTACCTGTACCTGCGGACTATACTGGGCTCGGCCACGCTACAGCAAAGGTAGGGGGGAGGGGGGAGGAGAAAGGGGGGGTGAGAGAGAGGAGAAAGGGGGGATGTAATTATGGGGGTGTATATTAAGGGGTATGGATTAATTAAGGAGTGTGGATTAATTTAAAGAAAACCTTTAACATTTTTTACAGTGTTTTTTTGGGTGGGGGGGGATCCGCCCCGGGTGCCAAATGCTCTAGGTACGCCCCTGGGAAGGCCACATTATATTACTTTGTGACCACTAGAGACAGAGCCTGTTTAAATAGGCTTGTATAGTGAGCCAATCTGAGCACCAACACCACTTCATGATTTTGGGAGATGGATACTGACCCCGCTCTGTCCATTGAAAACATGCACATTTTTAAAATATTTTTTGAGCAATGGCACTGCTAACATTTTGCAATTTCCATGCCTCTAGTATGTCATTTAGATTACCAATAGGTACTTTGACATAATTTAATATTTTACATAAAATGCTGGCGTGCAAAGCATGCAGATGAAAGACTCTTGGTGTGCATTTAGTTGGGCAAAAGTCTTATAGTTTGATTTCACAGTAGGAGTGTTGTGGCTGTGAATAACCTGGCTCGGTACTGGGTTACAGGTAAGTTGTGTTTTATTTATTTATTTATTTATTTGCAGGACTAAAACTTAACTGATAAAAACAAAAAGGAACACCGAGGCTAAAACATGTGTATATTTTTCTTATTAGACTGGGGTTCTATTTTTAACATTTCTTACATCTTGTCCACAGCAACCTTGAGGGTTTCCTGGAGGAGTTTGCAGATATTGCTAAGGAAGATCAGATTAAGAAGCTTCATGATATGCTGGGACCTCACATGTTAAGAAGGCTGAAAGCTGATGTTTTCAAAAATATGCCATCAAAGACAGAGTTAATCGTGCGTGTTGAGCTTAGTCCTATGCAGAAGTGAGTACGGTTTTCTTTCACATGCTCTACAGCTTACTGCACTTGTCCCCAACGTTTCACTGACTGTCATCTGCATCTCTCTCAGAAAATATTACAAGTTCATACTCACCAGAAACTTTGAGGCTCTTAATACCCGTGGAGGTGGCAACCAGGTGTCTCTGCTCAATGTGGTGATGGACCTAAAGAAATGCTGCAATCATCCTTACCTCTTCCCTGTAGCAGCTATGGTAAGTGGGTTTGGGTAATTCCTTAGTTTATCCCAAGCATAGTTGCTATGCTTGATTTGTTGAAGAGGAGACACATTGATGACCAGAGGTATAAGATGATGTACCTTAATCCTTCCTCTCTTTGTGATGCAGATGAGCATTGTTTTTTATCCATTTGAATCGGACTCATAAGACCCATCTGGTCCTTTCCTTTCCTTCTGTAGGAAGCACCGAAGATGCCCAATGGGATGTATGATGGCGGTGCCCTCATCAAGGGAGCTGGAAAGCTATTGCTTCTGCAGAAGATGCTACGTAAGCTAAAGGATGATGGACACAGGGTGCTAATCTTCTCCCAGGTACTTCCTCATTCCTGCCACTATTTCACATCAGAATATTTTAATCCATAGTACAACTTCTTTGAGAATGTACTTTTCTGTCTAAACTACCTTTTATTTTTTGTCATTTGATCCGTCCTATTGCTCTCTTCTTTGGGAAAACTTTATGGATGAGTTAAAAAGGCAGTTTTTACATTGCACCCTAGGGACACCTCCAGAGGCAGTAAGACTACCACTAGAGGTGCTTTGTGGGTCAGTGCAGCACTAACGTTCAACATCTCCACGCTCTGTATGGAGGCACTGGACTTTCCACATAGAGATACATTGAGTTAATGCATCTCTGAGGAGATTCTGGTCGGCAAGCATGCTTTCCTATGGGAAAGCATTTGATTGGCTGAGATCGTCAACACTGATCGGGGACGGGGCCAGCACCGGCAGGCCCATGCGGTGCTGGCATAAAGTTGAGTTTTTCGTCTTATTTAAGGAAGGCAAAGGAGAGACCGGGAAGCTAAATAGTGTTTTTACCACTATATGATTAGAAAGATATGTTTGTATTCCTGAGTCTCTAGTGTTCCTTTAAGTCTCTAGCACATCCTTTCCAGCATAAAGTTTAATTCACTTGATTGCTATCATAAAATAGTGGTATTATTGTTTTCACTTTCTGCAGTATTCAATATTTTTACTCTTAAGACAACTAACTGCCCCTCTCTCCTCCTCTCCCCCCCCACCCCCTCCTTTTTTTTTTTTTTTGTAAATCAAATCTCATTGTTTATTTAACTTCACAGTGCAATAATGCTTAATGTACTGTAGCCTTATGCTACCATCTGCGGAGTTCAGTTTTGTGCAGAATTTTGAGGCCAATATAAACTTTTTACTTGAGGTCTTCTTCTGCCCTTCCTGACCTATCTCACTCTTTCACTAGATGACAAAGATGTTGGATCTGTTAGAAGACTTTCTCGAACATGAGGGCTATAAGTATGAACGAATAGATGGAGGTATCACCGGAAATATGCGTCAGGAGGCTATTGATCGCTTTAATGGTGAGTGACCGAATGACACCTAAGTGTTTGCATTCGAAGTCTGGCTCAAATGTTTGGCTCAAGATCTTTGTGTCAAATTGGAAAATTTAGGCTAAATTTGCCAAGCTGTGACTGTATTTGGGTTAGTGAGTAAACTCAATTCAGGGCCTCCTGTTTAATCTTTTCTATGTCTCTAGTTGTAGTTCTGATGGACTTATTGCTATGTGCATCTTTAATTGTATTTTTAAGAATTTCGCTCTTTTCTTCCTTAGCACCCGGAGCCCAGCAGTTTTGTTTCCTGTTGTCCACGCGTGCTGGAGGCCTGGGTATTAATCTTGCCACTGCAGACACTGTGATTATTTATGATTCTGACTGGAACCCTCATAATGACATCCAGGTGAGGAACACCATCTGACTTATTTGTAGCAGGCTTCATTTTTTTTCCCCCTTTGCCATTATCTAAACAACCTCTTTCCCACAGGCTTTCAGCAGAGCTCATCGTATTGGGCAAAACAAGAAAGTGATGATCTATCGATTTGTGACCCGTGCGTCTGTGGAGGAGAGGATTACTCAAGTGGCAAAGAAGAAAATGATGCTCACTCATTTGGTTGTGCGACCTGGTCTTGGTTCTAAGACTGGCTCTATGTCCAAGCAGGAACTGGATGATATTCTTAAATTTGGTACAGAGGAACTTTTCAAGGATGAGATGGAGGGTAAGAAATCCAGAACATTTTCAGATTCCTGATCCATGATCCAAATTGTATTTTAGTACAAAACAGTCTGCTGACTCTTCTAACGTTTAAACCAATATGTTTGGTTTTTTTCAGGTGAGATCAAGGAAGGCGAAGATGGTAGTGTCATCCATTACGATGACAAGGCTATAGCTCGTCTGCTGGACAGAAACCAGGATGAGATTGAAGACACAGAGATTCAAGGAATGAATGAGTATCTGAGCTCCTTCAAAGTAGCCCAGTATGTGGTCCGAGAAGAGGAGATGGCAGTGAGTATAGAGATGTTCATGTACTGTCAGAAGATCTGGCTAATAGTTTTGTCTAGAAGGAGTCTAATAATTTTTGGTTTTATCCAGGATGAAGAGGAGGTGGTCCGTGAAATCATTAAGCAGGAAGAGAGTGTGGACCCTGATTACTGGGAGAAGCTTCTAAGGCACCATTATGAGCAGCAGCAGGAAGACCTTGCACGAAATTTAGGCAAAGGCAAAAGAATACGCAAACAGGTCAACTACAATGATGGCAGCCAGGAAGATCGAGGTGAATGTTCTTGCATTATTAAAATACTTAATTCCATCTATACCTTAATATTGTGTTAGCTGATTTCCACTGCCTCCTTATTGATCTCTTCACAGATTGGCAGGATGATCAGTCTGATAACCAATCTGATTACTCAGTGGCTTCGGAAGAAGGAGATGAAGATTTTGATGAAAGATCAGAAGGTATGCTTCGTTAGTAGTTCACCTTCCCTTGTTCTCTCTTCCATTTTTTCTCTGCACTGTTTACCATGCTATTCTTTTTGACTCTTCTTTCTTGTACACTTGTCCATTCTTTTTATAGCAGCACGTCGGCCTAACAGGAAAGGTTTGCGAAATGACAAGGACAAGCCTCTACCTCCACTTCTGGCACGTGTGGGTGGCAATATTGAGGTACAAAATCTGGTGTATTTGTGAAATAGGGGCTTTCACTGTCCTGCTATTTCTGTGCAGGGCTGGGGTGTTTTGGGGTTTTTTTTTTTGTTTTGTTTTTTTTCAGGAAAAGTGTTTAATCCCCTAGATTATTCTAGTTTAACTTGTAGATTTATCCCTTACTGATTTAGCTGCCTGTATCTTGTTGACTTATGATTTGGTTTTTTTTCATGGTTTTCATGCTCTACATCTCCATTTTTCAGGTTTTGGGCTTTAATGCTAGACAGAGGAAAGCCTTCCTGAATGCAATCATGCGTTATGGAATGCCCCCTCAGGATGCCTTCACTACTCAGTGGCTTGTACGTGACCTTCGTGGCAAGTCAGAGAAGGAATTCAAGTAAGTCCATGCTTTGACATTTGTATGCAATTCCTTCTTAATGCTCTATCTCCTAATACTCATAGAAACATAGAATGTGACGGCAGATAAGAACCATTCGGCCCAATTTTCTAAATACTTTCCATTAGTCCCTGGCTTTATCTTATAGTTAGGATAGCCTTATGCATACCCCATTCATGCTTAAACTCCTGTACTGTTACTCAACTAGCTCCTTCTTTCCGAAGACTTCACATTTTAGTCCCAAGTTCTCACAATCCATTTGCTCCCCTTCAAATTGCAGATTTTTTCCTTTAGTCGCTGTCATAGAGGATAGCACTTTGTGACACACATTCTTCTTCTCATTCTCTTTTGGTCAGCCTTGCATCTTCAGTTTACCACTCCTTTCTTATACAGCTAACTCTGACACCTCAATCTTATCTCTTGGCATCCAAGCATTTTACAATACTTTTTTCTTATTTAGGGCTTATGTGTCCCTGTTTATGCGCCATCTCTGCGAGCCAGGGGCTGATGGAGCAGAGACCTTTGCTGATGGTGTTCCCAGAGAAGGTCTGTCTCGCCAGCATGTCTTAACCAGGATTGGTGTCATGTCTCTCATACGTAAGAAGGTGAGTTTTCCGTTAGAAAAGACCATTCCAAGGACATGCATATATCAAATGACCCCTCTGCAGAATATGGGCTAGGGAAATCTTTAAACATGTTGGGAATACTAGGCAGGAGGTTTTGTAGTAATGGAATATTTTGCAATATGTGGTTTCTTTGTTCTGTGATAGGCATTCTTATGTGCTTATGAATTGATTAAATGAGTCCCAGTTCATTAGAGCAGTGTTTCACAATTGTGGCAACTAGGTTTGTTTTGTAAAATTAGGAACTATACAATGATTGTGAATCTTGTTTAGTCTGTTTTATTTAGAAATATCCCCATCTTAACCCTGCAATGTCTCTTCAGGTGCAAGAGTTTGAACATGTGAATGGGCGCTGGAGCATGCCTGAGCTTGCTGAGGCAGAGGAGAATAAAAAGGCAGTTCAGATCGACTCTCCCTCCCCCAAAACACCAACTCCATCTACCCCTGGAGACACACAGCCTAATACACCAGCTCCAGTTGCAACAAATGGTAAATTTCTTGTCTTTGAGTCCCCTTTCTATGGATTTTGGTATGCTATTGTGTTTTTGACATATGTCCAGCTGCAGAATTCTGCACACCCCTAATCTTCAGTATGATATAGGGGTTCCAGCTGGACGCAGAGTAAACCTGTCTGTTTAGGAGGGCAGCCCAAAGATTAGGTGCTTTTCCCTTAAAGGCATGGCAGGACATAGTTTTAGGAAGGGGCAAATGAAAAAGGGTATGTTTTGGTATTGTTCCTAATTGTATTTTTCTCCAGAGGAAGCACCGAAGAGTGAAGAAGTAGTGCCCAAGGAGGAAAGTACAGAGAATGATGTTAAGCCCCCTGAAGAGCGTAATGAGGTGTGTTTTGTGCATAGGCCACTTGATTTCATGCATTAGAGCACCAAATTACATCTTACACCTGGCATGCAAATTAAATTTGGTTCTTCTCCAGGCAACTCCTCCTGTGACAGAGTCCCAGTCCCCCGTGGTGCCAACCGAAGAAAAGCCAGAGGAACCAGAGAACAAGGAGAAGCCCCCAACCTCTGAGCCTATGGAGACTGATCAGAAAGTTGAGAAAGGTAATGCATGGTCAACATCCTTGAATGTGTATTTCTTTGTTTATTAAGTCTCTAAATATATTTGTTCTCGTTACAGTGGAACCAGAAAAAGTTGATGAAGTAATCACTTTAGATGACAAGAAAGGTTGGTGTTAATTTTCTGTTTTCTCATGTTGCTAGAAAGTGTCTTCCTGCTGTGTATCTCACTGCTTCCTCTCTGTTCCTCTAGATGATGTGCAGGAAGTAGCTTTACAGAATGGAGAGACTCCAAAAGAACCAACTGAGGAGAAAATAAAGAGGGCATCTGCAATAGCTTCCAAGCAGAGGTTCATGTTTAACATTGCGGACGGCGGTTTTACTGGTAAGAGGCGACCCATTGTGTGCATTTGGGTGGACCATTGACTTTTGCCGGTGATGAGTCTGAGTATTTGGAAAATGTATCCATGGCTTGCCTGTTTTTTCCTATTTCTTTTTTCCTATACTAATTTACGTGTGTGTGTGTGTGTTCACTAAAGAGTTCTGTATTTTTTACAGTACCTATTAAACCTGCGTGTAATGTGTGGGGCATTGCTCAGGTTTTCAGAGCAGTCATTTTGATGGCACTCAGTGAATTTTTGTTTGAAATTTTTAATGTCCCTCATCCCCCATGTCCACAGAGCTCCACTCCTTATGGCAGAATGAAGAGCGAGCTGCAACTGTTACCAAGAAGACTTATGAAATCTGGCACCGCAGACATGACTACTGGCTCCTGTCTGGAATCATAAAGTATCCTTTATTTTTGTGGATCTCTTGTACTGCTGTGTCTTTTACAAAGTTAAAGCTTTACTTTTAAGTTTGCTAGAAGTGTGCTTGTATGACTTAAGTTTGAGGCTGGGTGAGTGACTTGCTATGCATAGAGATTGAGTGACTTCACACTGTCACTGTTATTGGCATTTTCCTGAATGTTTCTCAGTCATGGATATGCACGTTGGCAAGACATCCAGAATGATGTACGATATGCCATACTCAATGAACCCTTCAAGGGAGAGGTGAACAGAGGAAACTTTCTAGAAATCAAGAACAAGTTTCTGGCTCGACGATTTAAAGTAAGTCTTTAGTCTCTTGGTAGAGCTGAATGTGCTCAGTCTCTTCCTGAATTAGTATTAGATTTCCTTGTGGACATGCTCCCCTTTATTTAAAACAAAGTGAAAGTAGGAGCAATAGAATTATGCTCATGTCATTTCAGAAGCTGTCAGTTTTTAGATTTAAATTTTGCTTTGTTTTACAGCTTTTGGAACAAGCACTTGTAATAGAAGAACAGCTAAGACGAGCTGCATACCTAAATATGTCTGAGGATCCCTCCCACCCCTCCATGGCACTGAACACCAGGTTTGCCGAAGTGGAATGCTTGGCTGAAAGTCACCAGCACCTCTCAAAAGAGTCCATGGCAGGGAACAAACCAGCAAATGCTGTTCTGCACAAAGGTAAACACATACAAAACAAACATAATGGATTATTCCCCCATTTGCTACAACAGTTGAATAATGCCAGCTGTACAATGCCACAGCCTTTGCCATGTTTTACTTTGTGACTCCACTGTGCCACATCACCGTAACCGGTCTCCTTCTAAATTTAGTTTAGTGTCCTGTTTAAAACAAGCTATTTAATGCCTTCCTGTATATATCCCTTCTTTCAGTAGCTTGTTGAAAGACGCTCAGTCTTGCATTTTTCACTTTGACACAAATTTTGATTCGGTATGCTTTTATCCCTGCATGAAATGGTGGATGAATGCAAAGTAACAAAGATTTTTGTACACTTTCATTTCCTTAGTGTTGAAGCAATTGGAAGAACTGCTGAGTGACATGAAGGCGGATGTTACCAGACTCCCAGCCACCATTGCCAGAATTCCCCCAGTGGCTGTGCGGCTACAGATGTCAGAGAGGAACATCCTAAGCAGATTAGCCAGCAGAGGAGGAGAACCACAGCCCCAGCCGGTAATTCTCCTTTCCAAACTTACTTTCATTAGTTATTTTTTCGAGTGTTGATCCACCTTGCAGTCTCTTCTATCCTAACTGTCACATTTTCTTTTCTTCAGCAGATTGCTCAGCAATAACAAGCCCCTCCTCTGGTCAGGAGGTCAGAGCGTCCACCCCCACCCCCGAAACATTCCCAACTAGAAGCAGAGACCTGCGTATGGCCACAGGACATGCTACCAGATCTACATCCAGGGAAAAAAACTCAGCAGAGCTGAACACCACCCCGGAACCATGAGTGAGTGGTCCCAGTCACAGAGGAATCCTGGACTTAAATGGCCTCACTGTGACCGATCACATGGTGCTGCTACTGCTTCATAAAAGGGGTTCACCCCTTACTTGGGGTTTAGGGCCACTTACCCCAAAGGCCAGAAACTTACCCTTTGTGCAGGAGCAAATTGTATCCTGAATTCAGAAGGAAATACTTTTGTTTTTGTCTTTTAATTTTATTTGCTCAAGTCCCCTCAAACTGCCTGAGTGGGGCAGGAGGGATGTCATCCAGGACAGACACCCTACCTCCATCCTTTTTAATACAGAACGCGTTGTCGTATAATAAAACACAAAATACAATTCTGAATGACTCCTTTCTGAACGGTCTGTTGTGTTGATGGGGAAATCTCCATAAGAATGAGATGCTGGTGTACAGCAGAGGACCTCATAGAATTTAAGGTTCACAGCTATGTTGCACATGTGTTCACTGGGGAGAATGTCTTGCACCAATGGTCATTCACAAGGATAAATGCTTACATGTGCAATCCATGTTTGTTTACTGGAAACGTATGTAACAAGCAACATCCCATGAGAGTAACACATTTTCTTTAATGAAACGTTTTTCAATTATTTTATTAAGAAAGGTTGTGTAACGTTTAGCAATGTTTCATGATTTTATATATGTTAATTTTATTACACATTGGTATTGTTTTAAAAGGCTTGCTTTTTTTATGCTGGTAATTCTTAAAGAAAAGACAAAACAAACCTTTCCCCTCAAAACAAAAAAAGCTATGTGATATTTCAGCTAGCGATAGATTAATGCTTTAAAAAAAAATCGAGAAATCCACTGTCTAAAGCTCAAAGTAAAGAAGGGGGGGGAGGGGGGGAGAGACAAGAGAGAAAAATGTTTCTTGTGCTTTGGTATAATTTTGTGTAACTATTCCAAATTATTCCATAGCCCAGGTGTAGGCAACATTCGGCACTTACAATTTTTTTGGACCACCTCTCCCATAATGCTTACAGCCATAATTCTGGGAAAGCATAGGGGGTGATGTAGCCCATAACACCATTTGGAGTGCTGAAGCTTGCATATTCCTGACCTAGCCCCATGTCTGCACTTTTTGTACTCTACTTCCTCACAGACCAATTAAGTATAACCTGCCTGGCCAGGACTTATATTTTCTATCAGAAGTGGCAGTTTTCCCTGTGGGAACATTAAATTTAATTCACCAAATATACTAGAGATATTTTGTGTCTGTGAAAAAGGTATGTCTGTGTGCTTTTTCTATTATTTCTGCATTGAGTTTTTCCCCATCTTACTAACTTTGTAGACTGCTCTAAATATATGCTTCTCCTCCCTCCCTATGTTAAAGATAAGGAGATATTTTACACGGTTTTTACAATATTTTAATTTCTGATCTCCGCTAAACAAAGAAAACAACTTTAAAATATCATGGTTTTGCCAAAGGAAACACAGCCTTTCTTTATAAAAACAATGAGGGGTGAATGGAATTTCCAGTTTGCTTTAATGTTCTTTCCTGCTAGTGCTGGAATTCTATTTGATAAGTGTCTGGTTTATTCACGAGAAGCTGTCTTCTATGACTCTTGTCACTTGGATCTGTGCTGCTCCCTTGCCTGCTTTATATGGCTAGTTTCTCTAGCAGTACAAGACACAACTCCTAGTGTTTAACTCTTGAAAACATGTAAGGCTGAATCTACCTCGTACACATTGCAACACAGAATTCATTAAAATTCCAGCTAATTCCAATAAATGTATTGCCATTTGCAGTTGCAGCGTTTTTGGAACAGACCGCTTTACTCCTCACACCCTGAGCAGTAGTTTGTGCCACACAGCTGCTATCTGTATATGTTTTCATGGACAATAGCACGAAGATGCAGTATTTGAGTTTCTTGTTGTGGTCAAAGTATTTCTAAACATTCCCTCTGCCACAAATATTACAAGTTGTAAATATTTAGGAGTTATAAAAGAGATGGTTGAAAAGAGATGGTGGACTGGGGTTTTTACTTATTTTATTTACCACTGTGAAGTTAGACAACTCCTTTTTAAAGTAGTTAGCTGTAAAGTGTTTTTTTTTTGTTTTGTTTTTTTGTTTTTTTTTTTAATTATTTCAAATCCACATATGACACACTCTCTAATACAGCAGGTTGGATGGGACAAATTGTATGTAGAGCTATACACACAATTTTGTTTTTCAGGGCTACCAGTGTAGCCATCAAGTGTTCTAATCTCATAGAAAAGTGACTTCCATTTGTGTAATGAAATTGGGTGCAATGGTTTTGTTAACTCTGCTAGTGGGTCTATGGTGATAATCCATTAGCCCAATAAGTGTCCAGACCACTGTCCGTTGCACAACACGGTTTTATATATCCACAATACAGAGGGTTGGGTCATGTTTTGATTGACTATGAAAAATCGTACTGATGCTGAAGTATACAGTGGATGAGTAGAAGATTTTGGGTAAGATCACAAAGAAAAGAATACAGTGTATCCTGTCTTGATACTAGGAAGGAGTGGCCTAGTGCTGTAATGTAGAACTCTCCAAATTACTCCTGCTGGGCACAAGTCCTCTGGGTTACATGTGCCAATGTTCTTGTATGAATATAAATTCCATAATGTCTTCCAATTTAAAGTATAAAGTGAGCTGTAATTCTTAAACTCTCCTATTGCTGATATTAACAGCTGTTGGGCTCATGTATAGTACTATATATATATATTCCTGAAAACTTTCTATGGCATTATACAGAATTCTGGAGATATATGCAAGTTTACTTTATGGAAACCATACAATATCCTGTGTGTATATATACATACATATTGGCATAGAAGAACTGATAGCCTTTTTTTTTTTTTTTCCAGTTTACTTTTGGTCCAAGGGAGACACGTCATCACTGATCTGGAGGAAAAAACTATTCAAAGCATGATAAACATTGTGTTAAAAAAAAAAAAAAAGCCTATGGACTTTAGAATATCCATATACAGCATATATTGATGATAATGGTCATTCTCTTAGGGAAAACAAAAATCAAAATAGTGGCACTTACAGACCAATGCAAAAAAAAAATATGAAACCTTTAATGTTAAAATGTGTTTACAAGTCCAAATATAATTTGCAAGGGCCAAGGGTGTTTAATATTTAAAGATTTGAGCTGAGTGGCAGTTCATTAATTATTCATTTTACAGACCATCACTTCACACGTATCTTTCCTAACCTCATATAATTGTTGTATAAACAGAAATTTCACATTAAACGGTTTTATTACCGTGTGGAGGATTAAAGAGACAGTATATTTACCAGAACAACTACAGCTTGATGTCCCTGCAGGCGTTTTCCTGTAAACACTGCTTTTTACATTACTGCCTATGGACACCTCCACTGACAGTCAGTCAGACTGCCACTAGAGGTGCTTTCTAGATCTGTGCAGCACAGACATCTAGCGTCTCCACTCTCTGCATGGAGGTCCTGAACTTCATGCACCTTATGTTTTTAACACTTTAGGGTCAGGAATACACATCTTTGGGTCCTGAGCCATGGGTTAAAAACTTTGGTGTGGATACTACATACAGATATTGTTTCTGCTGCACAGAATACAGTATTATTCATTAAAATGAGAACTGACAGGAATTCAAAGTTAATTTCAAATTTGAGAAAACACTAGTTTTGGTTAGAGTAAACATTTTTAGCCTGTTCTGCCCTAACACATAAAATAGTGTTAGGAATACAGATTTGTATTCACTCTAGAATTCCTTTAATTCCCAGCAATACTCATTTTATTGAATAATCTTGGATGGTGTTATTGGTCAGGAATTCAATCTGAGTTTCACATTTTAGGTCAAATTAACCAGTTTGTAAGTTTATTTTCTAAGTCGTTTCAGGGTTATTCACTAAAGTGAGAATTAAAGGAAAGTGTCAAATTCTAGGTAAATGATGCAGACATAGAGACACTAAAGTGAGAAATCAGTGAAATTCAAATTTAAGGGCAAAAGAGCCAAACTGAAAACATTCTCCAGCAGGTTTGAGATTGTCTCTGAATTCTCACTTTAGTAAATAACCCTGGGTTGTGTTCTCTCCCTGGCCTGTAATATTGGAATATAATTTATCACCCAGAGCTCCTGCTATTACAACATGGCGGCCAGGAAGGGGCAGGGCCACGCTGGGGATTCCAGGAGGCTGTGAGCGACCTGATTGGTGGATCGGCCGTGACGTGAGGCGGAGGGAGGTGTGTCTGTGACAGGAAGCGGAAGCAGACTCGAGTGCTAGGCTGGGTGTTACGTCATCGGTGTGCGCCTCATCCGGAGCCATCGTGGTAACACGTGAGGACAGCCTGAGCTTCGGTAAGAACGGAACCACCTCTGACTGTCACATGTTCCCTTTATATCAGTGCATTGCGGGCAGCATGGACCTCACAATGCAACCGCTTTAATAAACCTCTAACTGCTCCACTCTCTCTCTCTCCCTGGCACTCACTAACCCCCTCACTGCCCCTCTCCCTGGCACTCACTAACCCCCTCACTGCCCCTCTCCCTGGCACTCACTAACCCCCTCACTGCCCCTCTCCCTGGCACTCACTAACCCCCTCACTGCCCCTCTCCTGCTATTCATTAACCCCCTCACTGCCCCTCTCCTGCTATTCATTAACCCCCTCACTGCCCCTCTCCTGCTATTCATTAACCCTCTCCTGCTATTCATTAACCCCCTCTTCTGCCATTCCTTTACCCCCTCGCCGCCCCTCTTCTGCCATTCCTTTACCCCCTCGCCGCCCCTCTTCTGCCATTCCTTTACCCCTTCGTCGCCCCTCTTCTGCCAATCATGTACCACCTTACTGCTCCTCCATTATCAGTGCCCACCACATTAAACCTTTATAAAGTGTCTGGGTCTGGCCCAGGTTTCCCTGACAGCTTTGAGTTTTACTTGCCCTTTTGTAGTACTTGATCTGTGCTTGTCAGCAGAATGTTAAATACCCAAGCTGCCAGAGGTTATCCAGTAATTCATCATCAATCTTCCTATAGAATATCTTGAGTTCTGCAGAATGTGACATCTTTTCAGGAAGCATATTTTAAGTGGAATATACAGCTATTCATGAAATTGTCTGAAGTTCCCCCATCACCTATTCACTGCTCTATTTCTCAAAAAGCAGGTTTTCCCAATTCTTTTCCTGTACAATTATATGCACTATATATGTTCTATATCTGGGGGGGTGTAATATGTATTACCATCATTACAAGTTTCAACCCTACACTGTCTCTTTGTCATCTTTCCTGGTATTTCTCTGCTCATAGCAGCACTACCTTTATTACTGTGTTTGGATTGGTTAGCAGACCAGTCACAGTAAATGATATAGTGTTGCAATGGCCCTAGAGAAACTAATATTGCCAGGGTTGTTTGATAAATTTGTCAGAGAAATTAATATATAACGCAAAAATAGCCAATCCAGAAGAAAAAAAACCTCTGCTATTTTGGACTAATATTTATGTTTGCCTGATGAAACAAAATAGATCATGGTTTGATGATCATATTTATGCCCTCCATTTGTTTCACTCTTTATGCTGTTGTTTTGAAATATCGAGTGGTTCTGTAGTAATTAACCCATACACGCTTTCTACACGTGACGGTTGATATGTCATTCTAAATGCAGAAATAAAGGGACACGTCAGGTACCATAACAACCTTATTGGAATCAGGTTGCTGTGGTCTCCAGTGCCAGCTTACCTTCAGGGGTTAAACCATTAACGGACGTCTTAACCACACAGTTTTTTTTATTGTGGTAGTTTTCAACTCTGCCTAGCTACTTCCATTTAAATCCAAGGACTTTCTGCTTGAAGCCTCGGGCTCAAACGGACGTTGCTGAGAGCATCGGTTCCAGACTGAAGCCTCGGATTGGAATGAAAGGGATGGTGCAGAGCTCACATGTAGGCTGAATATCCCCCATACTGTATACCATTCGTTAACTGTTTAACCCCTGAAGGTAAGTCAACGAACAGGACCTCCTTGCACAATAACTTAAAGTGGTACCTGAAAAAATCTATATTTCATAAAGATATAATCTACAGTCAAGAGATATAGAGAGACAACAAAGTCCCTAGACAACGACCGTGCTGCTTTAATTACGATTAAGTGATTCTGATGCCAGGAATGTTCCTTTAATGTATTAGTGCTCCTGTCATGACCGACATGATTTTGTGTTAAATTAGAGCTAATGTTCATCTACACAATATATTTGCACAGTGTGTAGACTGAATATATATCTATGTGAACTTGCCATGTACATTATTTGTGTATGTAACATTAGAAGTGGACAGGGGGAGGGGGTCCTAACAGCCGAGCTGGCAAGACGTGTGCACAGTGAGCTCTGACACAAACAGGCTCAAAATCTCGACTAAAGCTGTCCTGCTCGCTGATAATCCATAGCTGGATAGTGTGGGAGCATGTGGACACCCGTTTTGTGCAACTCTGGCGAGAAAAAACACGCTCCACCGATGCGGCCTAGCAAGGAAAGCGGCCTAGTGGTAGGGAGAGGCAGCCAATCTCTCGCCCTGGGGGCTGCTATAAGCAGCATCCCCCCCCCCCCCTCTGGACCAGTGGGGGTCATCCCCGGTCCCCACTGGGGAATCTCACGAACTTGCCACAAGAGGCTGGTCCGCCGGAGCCGAGGTCGCAGTTTGGCCCCAAAATGGTCGCAGAGCCAATGCATTTTGAGGCTCGATTTGACCAAATATGCCAGGAATTCTGGCACCGTATGGAGCACAAAAACACCCACCCTGCTCTACCTGTTACGAAGGGAAGGAGGCTGCGGCAGCAACTTACCGGTCCAGCGACCACACGAAGCGGCATCCATCTTACAGACGGACCTGCCGTCTGACTCTCCCGACGCCTCACCGCACAGCTGCATGCCAACATCAACCACCCACCTCACAACCTTGCTGCAGCCTCTCCGCACGTCACTCTGGTGGAGAGCACATGTATGGCAATGCAGACCCAGAGCACAGCGGAGGCCCAGAGAGCAGTATCTGACAATACTGGATGGCATTTCAGCTGCCGCGGATCAAGAACACAAGGGCGCCCGGGACCGTAGCGGCCCTTACCTGCAGAGTGGCGGATCCTTGCTCCCAAGAGGTGACAGCCTGCTATCAGCAGGCATCGGTTAAACAACCCCAGGCAGAAACACTCACCAACATAGAGCATACCCCCACCTGCTGCCAGGGGACGAGCAAAATAAATCCAATAGCTCATCCTTCCTCTGTACCCTCCCTGATAGAAGTGCTACCCCAGGGTCATGTTGCTGGACCCGTTAGCGTTTACTTTTAACCCTCAGCCCTTAGTAGCCACACAAGTAATACAACCAGCCCAGGACTGCACCTACTCTCAGTGGACATTGTGCTCTTACTTTCATCCTCATTTTGATTTCAGTCTCGTTTTCACTACAATATGTGAATAAACTAGTCGCACTAAATTAGCATGATGCCCACTGTACATAACCACATTTTAATATGCTTAATTACCCTAACATGTTATATTATATAAGCAATGCTTATTAGCCTGATATTTTCATGATTGTAAAAAATGTGCCGATCAAACTGCCACACTTTTAAAATGTCTTGAAAACGCATGTAGATGCTTTTGTGGCTCTGCACACTTGTCGTCGTCGTCATATGCACAAGAAAAATAAAGAATAAAAATAAATAAAAATAAAGTGGATAAAGGACATTTTTACAATAAAAGCAAACAGTTAGAACAAGGGCATACTATTTGAAATTGGAAATGGGGAACACTGAGGAAATTACATTTTAGTAGGTACCTGAAATAGCCTTTTAGGGAAAGTAAAATTTGTATTTGTTAGAAATGTATATTCAAGGCATTTATCAGGGGACCATACACTATGTAATTCTCATACTTTTTTGTACAGTTCCAGCATGGGTAGGAAACTAGACCCCCTGAAGAAGGTGCCACGAGGACCTGGTCGAAAATCCAGAAAACAACACGGAGCTGAGAATGAACTGAAGAATATCCTTACTGAGGGTGAGTTTTCATATCAACACACAACACGATATTTCTAACCAAAGAGTGTTATCGACAGTTATTACCAAATTTAAAGAGAAATTGAAGCTTAAAGTAGGGTTAGCACTCTTGCTGGGAGTAACCCAGATGACTGGAAAAATCTCAAATGAAAACGGGAATTAAGTGCCCTAATTTGGAGTTAACACTTTTTTTTTTTTTTTTTACACAGAATAAAAAGATGAAAGAAAACATTCAATTACTGTGTTGCTTGTTGTGCTCAAAATGAGGATAAAAACAAAGGAAATATTGTTATGAGATCTTGAGAGAAACGTATAAGACAATAGTCAGTAGACTTTACCAATCAAGTACAGATCTAAATGTATCACTAGTCAACCTGCATGATTCTGCATTATTAATACTAACAATTGTGTTATTACAGCCTAGGTGACTTTACTAATTGTGTATTGACACATCCTTTGTAGCTGACCTGCAAGTTCAATTTAGATACAGTGCAGGCAGCTTATTTTACTAATCCAGCCTAGTTCAAAATGTATCATTAGTCAAGATCTCATTATAACAATAGTTCCTTTGTTTTTATCCTCACTTTAAGCACAACAAGCACCACAGTAATTAAATGTTTTCTTTTTTCCCTCATCCTTTTTATTCGTTAACAATAAGTAATGTTTTAACTCCAAATTAGGGCACTCATCTTTGAGATTTTAAAGATCAGTTAGGAACATAGAAGAATATAGCTATGTTTTAGCTGAAAACTATTCCTTTTAAGTTTAGTAAACCGTAAGTAATGAATCGTAAATAAAACACTTTGCAAAATTCACGCTTAAGTAGCCAAGCCGCAACTATAACAGAGTTGAAGCCCGTATTCAGGAGATCAGAATCTTGGAATAAAGACTGTATCTTTATGAAACCGTCATTTAAATGGGGATGGTATTGTACTATGTTTTGTCTGTTTTATCTTATTGAACTAAAATCTGAAGTGGTTCAAAGAAAACCCCACAAAACCTAGCATGCGTCTATTATAACTATCTCTGGGCAATTATCCTGTTCCAGTGTGTTATGGTGCTTATTGACTGTATAATTTGAAAGCATATAATTTATATATATATATATATATATATATATATAATTCTATGTATTCTTATGTTTAGATGTCCCTCCACTCTTGGCCAGTTTTCAGAAATTGACATTTCTCCTTTTCTTTGTCTTCAGATTCCGATGTAAAACGACTGTCCAGACGCGGCAGGAAGAGGTGAGACTGCTTCAGCTCCGTTCTTTTCTGAGGTTTAATATTCAAGCCAAGTGTTGCCTTTTTCTAACGTGCCTTATTCATCCCATAACAGGGCGGCTAAGAGGCGAATCGTAGAGGAAAACCCCCCTGTGGTGAAGTCAACAGCAAAGCAAAATGGTAAGTACAATGTTTGTTTTTTTCACTTACCGTTATACTTCCATTTCTGTGCTGTGCCCTGAAGTCCTCACCTCTTTGTACCCTGCAGGTAGTGGGCAAACTGATACTAAAGAGGAAAAGGTTACTGGTGGATTTAGTGATGAGAATTCCCAATGGTTGAAACCTGTTAAACGAGCACGAAAAGAAATGCCAAGCCAAGTGGATAGTGAGGATGAAGAGGAAGGCCACAGTGAGGAAGAGACCATGGATGAAGAAGAGGAGCAGGTAGAGGAGGGCGAAAATGAGGAGGAGGAGGAAGAAGAGAGTGAGGACGAGGAAGGCCAGAGTGATGAGGAGTCTGCAGGAGCACTTTCCATGTCGGACAGTGACGATTTAGAGGATGATTTTGGAATCTCATCAGAGGAGGATGGGGAGGAAGTAAGCATATCTTAAGTTTTGTGCTATTCTTGTCCCCACTGCTGCGGGATGTTTTATAACTTTTTTTTTTTTTTATCTTTTCTTTTGTAGCTTCTCCCAATAGAAAAAGAATCTGCTAAACTGAAACAGAAAAAGCTGAAAAAGAAGCAAATGAGGTTGGACACCAAACTTTTGAGATATTAACTTTTCTTATGGTTGCACTAAGGATATTTTTGGGGGAATGCTTGTGCACAATCCATGACATTGTTTTAATAGTTATCATTGGTATTGGCTTAAAGGGACACAATAGGCACCAAAGCAATTTGCATAATGAAGCAGTTTTGATGTACGTCTCACTGCTCAATTCTCTGCCATTTAGGAGTTAAATCACTTTTTTTCCTAAAAAAAAAAAAAAAGAAAGAAAAGTAAACCTTTGATTTGAATAATTTTTTTATTTTTTATTAAGGCTGTGCAAGTCACAGCCAGGGGAGGTGTGACTAGGGCTGCATTGACAGAAAGAAACCTGATTTAACTATTTAATGGCATGTAATTAAGCCGTGAGACTTCAGAGGGATGATCTATACACCAAAACTGCATCATTGAGCTAAAGTTGTGTTTTTTTTTTTGTTTTTTTTTTTTTTACTAGAGTCCCTTTAAGAATGTTTGTTTATTGCAAGGTTATTGTCCATTCACTCACATGTGTTTAATCTACACTGCTTCTGGCTCGTGGAAGCCAGTCATCCGCTTCGTACACACACTGGCCTGTGCTCGAAGCTTGACATCTGTTTATTCCACACACTTTCTGTCTTGCGCTGGCATCTACACCAGTGGGATCTCAATTTGAGCAGTGTTGAGAAATGCTTAAAACCAGGACTGTTGGTTTGTCTGGAGGGATGGGTTGGGAACGAGATGTACTGTCTTGCACTGCCCTCTGATTACAAGCTCTTGTGCAATCACTATTTGTATTCCCATGCTCAAATGGACCCTATGTAACATGCAAACTGCCCCCTGCTCCTTCCACCATGTTTATTTACACACATACACTTCCATCTAAGTCTGTTTTCTGTCCTTTCTACAGTGAGAAGGCCCAAGAGGGGAAGGAGTCTACCATTCAGCTCAATGTGGATGCAGAGGAGCCATTCCAAATTCCAACTAACGAGGAGATGGAAAATGAATGTATCCTTGAATTTGTTTACCATAAAAATGTCTCATTCCACACATTCCCATCTTGTTCATTGGTACCAGGCAATGCTCACCCATAGTCCTGCCTCTTACCTGCGTTTCTACCAGTACCCAAATAACTTTTTAATTTATATCTTTAAAGAGTCCAATCTCCCAACCTTGCTTCTTCCTTTATTCTTAAGTCATACTTATGTTCTTCAGTGACTTTTCCTTAACCCCGCATGTAGTGCTGAATGCCCCAGATCTTTCCACTGTCCAGGAGCGCATTAAAGATGTGGTGGGAGTTCTGCAGGATTTTACTAGTCGCGGGGGACCTCATTCACGTCAGGACTACCTCAACATTCTTCGCAAAGATCTTTCTACTTACTACAGCTATGGAGACTTCATGCTTCAGATCCTCAGTGAGCTGTTTCCCGTGTCAGAGGTGAGGGACGCTGAATGTACTTTTCCAGTGGACCATTGAGCACAAGGTTTCTTGACTGATGCATTACCCTCTCACCTTTTGTGTAACTCACTGTTTCTGTTCAATCTGTACCCCACTTGTTTTGACACCCATTCTTGCCCCTACATCTACTTGATGCCCTTACATCACATACCCTTTCTTTGTCTGTATTAACCTTTGTGTGTTTTTTCTTTCTTTCTCAGTTGGTTGATTTTCTGGAGTCCTGTGAGGTTCAACGTCCAGTCACAATCAGGACCAACACGTTAAAGACCCGCAGGAGAGATCTAGCACAGGTATAACTGCTTCACCTCACAAACCTGTTATCTAGACTTTCCCTCATCCTTTTAAAACCCACCTTTTTACTGAGTTTCCACATTCTGCCTTTCTTTTTTCCACCTTTTCCATAGTATCCTCTTGGTTCAACTTGTTTGTGCGTTTATTGTAAGCATTTCTTTCTCTGCATCCACTCAGGCTTTGATTAACCGTGGAGTAAACTTAGATCCTTTGGGTAAATGGTCGAAAACTGGACTTGTTATATACGATTCATCTGTTCCTATTGGTGAGTTTGTGAGTACAAAGTTGGTGGTCTTGGTGTGTGTGTGTGTGTGTATACCGTGTATATTTACATTTGCTTTAATGCTGCAGGTGCCACCCCTGAATATTTGGCTGGTCACTACATGTTGCAGGGAGCATCTAGTTTGCTCCCAGTGATCGCGTTGGCTCCTCAGGAGAATGAGAGGGTTCTGGATATGTGCTGTGCTCCAGGAGGAAAGACCAGCTATATGGGTAAGACGTCCTCTGCTCTTCTTCCATCATGGCACCCACCTGCCAACCATCCATCGAGCCCATTCACATGCCAGGCTCACTAGATGGTTGCTGCAGTGGAGGGATCTAGGATTTATAAATTAAAATCTAAACTGGGAAAACAAAGACCGTTTAAACCACACCTTATATGCGTATATTACGCGACAAACACCCGTTCCCACCAGGGATGGTTCATGTTGCCAAACAGGGTTATTTACTAAAGTGAGAATTGTTGGGAAATGAAAGTGAATTTCAAATTTAAGGCTAAAATATCCAAACTGGAAAAATCCTCCAAGTCAACTATACTTCAAATTAGGCTCCTTTTGGCATCCAATTTGAAATTCACCTTGAAATCCAGACAGTTCGCCCTTTAATGAATAACCCCTAAAGTGTTGCACATAAAGAAATTAAATGATTAATATTTCGAATGTCTATTCACTTGTATAGAAACAGTGCAATATCGAACTTATATAAATCCACTCGTGTCCAAGAGCCAAAACTGACCTCTGTATTTATCATTTAAAATAGCAGCAATGTGATACGATTGCATTTAAAGAAATAACCACCTTAAAATATACATACAGTAATGGTGCGGTATTCATTTATAATCAACTTGTTTGAATCACTTGCTAAAATAATTGATGAGAATACCCTCTGTAGGGTAATCCCGATAGCAATTCTTAGTGAGAATATTGGTTTGTGATCTGTTAATAATGATTTTATGTGTTTCACAGCCCAACTGATGAAAAATACCGGAGTAATTGTTGCTAATGATGTAAACGCCGAACGTCTCCGGAGTGTGGTGGGAAATCTGCACAGACTAGGAGTTACTAACTGTGTCATCTCTAATTATGATGGGCGACAGATTCCAAAGGTGAGAAGTCCAATTTCAGCAGGAAACACTGGGTCAATTCTACAGGCAAAGTTCAGATAAATATTTTTATTTTCTGATTATGAATCACTGGCAGAAGCACATTGTTGCTATTGAACAAGGTATAAATGTATTATCAGACATTTCCTAATATCTGTGAGTGAATCCTTTTATCCTTACGGTCTACCATATAATCTGATGTGTAGATCTGTTTTTAGCAATAACTTGATTAAGTCTGCGTTGCCAGTTACCCACGAAACCCCGTAAGAAAAACTGGGATAATCTCAGTCACACTCTGACAAAGTTAAACCACTTCTATGCTTTCAAGGTTGATAAAAGGAGTATCTTTAAGTCGGATTTAAAAAAATAAATTTTACTTTTGTGTGTGTGTGTGTGTGTGTGTGTGTGTGTGTATATATATATATATATATATATATATATATATATATATATACACACACACACAGATTTTGAGCGTTTTTTTTCATTTTGTATTAAAGTACCCTTGTTTTGTTTATTATTATTTATTTATTTATTTACACTTATTATTGTAACCTGAGCACCTGTTAAAGAGGATAAACTTACAAGAATACAATAAGAAATGTCAAATTCTTTTTTCTCCCCCTTTTCTAACAGATTGTAGGAGGCTTTGACAGAGTTCTCCTCGATGCCCCATGCAGCGGGACTGGAGTAATCAGCAAAGACCCGGCCGTGAAAACCAACAAGGTACGTTGAAGAGTAGATAATTGGAGAGAATTTACTAATACAACCACTGGCACAAGTGTGCCAGTTCTCACAGTTTGACACCATGCTATGGCCTAAGAGTATAGGCTTTAACCCCTTAACGACCAATGACGGTTTAGGACAGTCATCAGAAATATCCCCTTGAGGAACGATGACGGTCCTGAACCGTCATAACGTCTTGGGTGTACTTACCTGATCGCCGTCGGTCCCCCGGCGGTCATCAGCGCTCCTCCCGGTCCAGGGGGACTGCCTGTCTGTCCAGGGGGACTGCCTGTCTGTCCAGGCAGTCTCCCCACGGCAGATCAGGACCCGGCGGTCACGTGATTGCTCGTGTATCTGCCTGCAGAGGGTCTGTCTTTGCTGACAGGCAGTCTCCCTGCAAGTGGAAAATCCTAAAATAAAGTTAAAATTTTTTTTTAAATCTGTGTTAAAAAAAAGTGTGTGTGTGTGTGTGTGTGTAAATATATAAATTACGCACATGTATATATACAATATATATTATAAAATATATTTATATCAAAATACACTTAGCATGAAATTACATATGTATAAAAAATAAATTAATTTCATAGATATACATGTAGACTTCAAATATATAAATATATATATTAATTCTACATGCATATTTAAGTGTTCTTGCATAGCAAGACCACTTAATGTTATCTCACATATATTATTATTTACCACCCTAACTCCTCCCACAGTTTTTACACTACATAGACTGTTAAATACCGAAACGTGCGGATTGTTCTCGATTGGTGTGGAACGTTTTGCCGAATGGTTCACGGCATATTGTCGTTAGTCCCATAGGAATGAATGGCAAAATGTTAAAAACTAGAGTGGGAGCAGGCAAAAGCTGAAAAATCAGGACATGATTTCTAAACTGCCACCACGCCCTCATTTTCAAGCCCACCTACACAAATCTTATATCAAAACATTCAGCTATCCCTGCTGCCACTAAACATATCCAAGGCTAAGCCATAGTCCTGATAGTTTTCACAATATGACCATTTGTTTGCAACTCACGCCGTCCATTGACATTCATTGAAACTCCACTCTAGCCAGCTCAAACTTGAAGGGCAATTTCTAAACTGCGACTGTGCCTTCAATTTTAATACTTCAGAGACATACTATGCATCAAAATGTAGGTCTGGGTCTTGTGATTCTCGCAATATAAAGCTCTTCGCTGTAGGATTTATAGTTTTTAAAATACGACCGTTTGAAGATGGCAACCGCCAAAATACTCTGACAGCAAGTGATGTCAGACAGGGCCTTTTGTACACCTGCTAATGTTTTTATAAATGTATGTTTTAATGTAACTGTGAAGCACTTTGAGCAACAACGTTGCAATTAAATGTGCTATATAAATAACAGTTACTCCGCCCACTCCAGTTGAAGACTACTGGTGGAGGCAAGAACACTTCATACAATTTCCCCAGAAATTGTAGCTTTTCTAGTTATGTAATATTATTACATAAGTAAGTAATTTTATTGATTGCAATTTAAGGGACATGCCTGAGAACCCAGGCCAAAAGTCCAGAGAATTTAATTTGCTAGCACTATGTTTAACCCTGTAACTTTCTATGACACCCTAAAACCTGTACATGGGGGGGTACTGTTTTACTCGGGAGACTTCGCTGAACACAAATGTCTTTCAAAACAGTAAAACATATCACAGCGATGATATGGTCAGTGAAAGTGACGTTTTCTGCATTTTTCACACACAAACTGCACTTTCACTGATGATGATATCGCTGTGATAGGTTTTACTGTTTTGAAACACTATTATTTGTGTTCAGCGAAGTCTCCTGAGTATAACTGTACCCCACATGTAGTGGTTTTATAGTGATTTTGAAAGTTACAGGGTCAAATATAAGGCTTATTTTTTTTCATTGAAATTTGTCAGATTGGTAATGTTGCCTTTGAGAGCAGATGGTAGCCCAGGAATGAGAATTACCCCGATGATGGCATACCATTTCCAAAAGAAGACAACCCATGGTATTGCAAATGGGGTTTGTTCAGCCTTTTTTAGTAGCCACTTAGTCACAAACACTGGCCAAAGTTAGCGTTTTTTGCATTTATAACACACAAACAAATATAAATGCTAACTTTGGCAAGTGTTTGTGACTAGGTGGCTACTAAAAAAGACTGGCCATATCCCATATTAAATACCCTGGGTTGTCTACTTTAAAAAAAAATATGTACATGTGGGGTGTGATTCAGGGATTTATGACCGATAACAGTGTTACAATGTCACTATTGATAAATGTAAAAAATATATTGAAAGAGCAATTTCATACTTGTACTTATAGCCCTATAACTTGCAAAAAAAAAAGCATGTAAACACTGGGTGTTTTTAAACGCAGGACAAAATTTTGAATCTATTTAGCAGTTTTTTTTCATTAGCTTTTGTAGATAATTAAAAAGATTTTTCAAGTAAAAGTCCAAAAACATGTTTGTTTTTTTTAAAGTAAAATATGACATGATACAAATAATGGTATGTAAAGAAAGCCCTTATTGTCCTGAAAAAAAAACAATATATAATTTGTGTGGGAACCATAAATGAGAGCAGAAAATTACAGCTAAACACAAACAACACAAAAGTGTTAAAACCGCTCTGGTCCTTAACGTACAACATCGCAAAAACAGGCCGGTCCTTAAGGGGTTAAGATTGGAGCTAGTTTATATTACCAAGGAATGGAAAAGATCACTTGGAAAGACAGGAGGGAGAAACTGGGAGTAGTATATATGTATGGCAAGGTTAGAAGATGAATCCTTATATCTTAACTTTACGTATTCTTTATCTAATCAATATATGTACTGCACACATGGAGTAGCCAGTTATATGTATTGACTGTTTATACATGTACTTACAGACCATTCAAGATGTCCAGCGTTGTGCCCACATACAGAAAGAGCTCATTGTTAGTGCTATTGATTCTTTGGATGCTCAGTCGCCCACTGGTGGATACCTGGTGTACTGCACTTGTTCAATCACTGTGAGTAACAGGCCCCAGCCACTTTAGTGGCTTATCTGACCATTATTTATTTTGCATAATTTTTTCCCTGTTTATCTCCCATATTCTGGGGTTTCTCATACTCTTTTCACCTGTATTCCTGGCATTTCTGTCTGTATTGATCTTTCAGTGATTTTTTTTTTTTATAACTCCACAGGTGGAGGAGAACGAATGTGTGGTGGACTACGCATTAAAGAAAAGGAATGTGAAACTGGTAGCCACCGGCCTGGACTTCGGGAAAGAAGGATTCGTAAGGTATGAAGCCGTATTCCCCTCTCGTTCTGAAAACATGCAGTTTTTTCACTAAACTGGACATTAATTTTGGCCTCCGATCTAAAATTCACGAGTCAGTCAATCTTGAAAACTAGCTGATACAGCGTTGAAAGTTTCTACTTTAGCTGTTTTGGCCAAAAATTTGAATTTTCTGGCAATTTGGATTAAAGGACCACGCTAGGCACCCAGACCACTTCAGCTTAATGAAGTGGTCTGGGTGCCAGGTCCAGCTAGGGTTAACCCATATTATTATTTTTTTTTTTTTTTTTTTTTAAACATAGCAGTTTCAGAGAAACTGCTATGTGTATAAATAGGCTAATCCAGCCTCTAAAGCCTCTAGTGGCTGTCTCATTGACAGCCGCTAGAGGCGTTTGCGTGCTTCTCACTGTGAAAATCACAGTGAGAAGACGAAAGCATTATGAATGCTTTCCTATGAGACTGACTAAATGCGCGCGCAGCTCATGCCCTGCATGCGCATTCAGCAGAGGAGGAGAGGAGGATTTTAACCCTTTCCTCTCCATCCAGCCCGGCGGGAGGGGGTCCCTGAGGGTGAGGGCACCCTCAGGGCACTATAGTGCCAGGAAAACAAGTGTTTTCCTGGCACTATAGTGGTCCTTTAAATGCAACAAAATAGGATTTTAGACACTTCACTAGTGCAGGCTTTGTGTTACTACATGTGTGTGATTTTGGAAAGACTTTACAGTTTGTAGCTCAGACTCCTAACTAATTCATTTACTTGGTAAATCCAATTGGATTCAAAATTATTACACCAGTTCTGATTGAGAAGTGGACATTAATTTGTTGTAAATCTTTATTTATGAAGGTAGGTGAATGGTTAACAGAGAGAGGGGAAAAGGATAGCATGAAAATAGCAATAAAAAAAAAAAAATTCTGAATAACCCGCTCATCAATAAAGAAATGGTTACTTGTCTCTAGTCCGTAGCCATTTTAGACTCCATATCAGGCCAGATAATGCCATCAAGGCCTGAATCGCCTCAATTTTAGTTATACACTTCCCCCAAAGAGGGGGCAACATTCTGCTTCCAGGGTTCGACATCCCAACTGCATTAAGGAAATGCTTAGTAAGATATTGTTGAATATGATTATGCAGCATGGCAGCTGGCTGAAAAGGAGTACTCCACAATGGAGATGACAGCCTTATAAAATTGTTGGTATTTGTGGGCAGTCCCACCACACGGGGACATTATATCATTTAATTCTTCAGTGATGCGTCTTGCATTGCTAGTCACTGTACCAAAGATTTTCTAATCCGCTGCCCCAGTCTTGACAATGTAGCCGGAAGATGTAACTTTCTGAATGCTCTATTTATACATAAGTATCCACTTACTTGAAGACTCCCACACTTGGTCAAATCCTCTGTGCTGGTGTTTCAATTCCCGAGGTCTGTTAAATGGAAGATACACAGCACTTGGGTAAATGCAGAAAGAATTCCTTGCTGTGCCAGTTTAATAGGAATAGTACAGGCACGGCCTAAATCCACCAGAGCATAATGCAAAGATAACAATTGCCAAGACCTAAAATAGCTTTACATGAGTTAGAAGGGGACGACGACTCTAATCCTGAACACGTTTCACGTCTAGATCGATGCTTTCACGTCTAGATGGATGCTTTATCATCATGTTGGTGAAGTGCTTTAAGAATCACTCTATGATCGCTGGGTATTATCTTTGTGTCGTTGTCAAGAGATGCCTCTATGTTTTGTTTCAGATTTAAAGAACGTCGGTTTCACCCGTCTCTTCGCCAGTGTCGCAGGTTTTACCCACATACACACAACATGGATGGATTCTTCATTGCAAAATTTCGCAAGTTCTCAAATACCATTCCAACCGCAACCAGTGGTGAGTCAGTCGTTCCAGATTATTCCTCCATCTCCCCACCAAGCATAGATTAGGTGAACACCCAATGCAGCATTTTAATAATTCCTTATTTTCATCTTAGATAAAACAGAGAATCCAAACTCTGCTCAACCAAGTGAAGAAAAGGAAAGTGAACCCAACGCAACTACGGAGGCTCAATCGAAAACACTCAAAGGTCCATCCAAGTCACTGAAAAAGAGTCCATCCAAGTCACTCAAAAAAGGTCCATCCAAGTCACTCAAAAAAGGTCCATCCAAGTCACTCAAAAAGTTTTCACCCAAGTTGACTGGAAAAGCTAAAGTCAAAAAACTCAAAAAAGGTCCACCAAAGACAAAAAAAAATTTCAAGAAAAAGAATAAATAGTTTCCGTCAGATCTGCTTGGCCTAGGACTGTGATACATTGCAATTGTTTTATCTCTGGCTAGTTCTCTGTGTCATGCTGTACAGATTGATCTGCTGCTCTACAATACTTGTTTATGTGACTTTTTTATCATAAATTTGAGTACAAGGAGAAATATGGTATGGACTGCGTTGTCCTGTTGCGGGTGGGTTAGGCATCAGAACATATTGTAGGCACTAAAAAAATTTTTATTTCATTGAATTGGTTATATTGCCTGGAGTCCCCTGCTACTGTCCCTCTAATCAGTGACAAAACCATTAACTTGGATGAGGGTCCTTGGCCACACAGCGCACCCTCCACTGGAGTTATATGCTGAGTGCAGAGGTTTCACATTTATTTATAAAACAATGGGTAGCATTGGTTGGCTGAAAGTGGTCAGCCCAAGTAGCACTGAAGGGGATGGTACTCTTGTACATTTAATGCTGATCATATGGCAGGCACCAGCGGCCTCTAGACCCTATAACCACTTCAACTATATGAAGCAGTTGCAGAGCTTACAGTGTGCCCATAGGTACACATTTCCTTTTTAAACCTTGCTCCCTTTGGTGTGTATCTCTACTACATCTTCACTCTGCCACCAATTTAACTTTTACCATCTGCTAAAAGCCAACTATACTCACCATGACTTTTCTCTACAGTAAATGTTATTGTTACCATTCTTACCCCAGTCTTGTTTAGTTTTTTTTTTTTCTCAAACTAAGTGGTTTCTCTGATAGTTACATAGCTGAAAAGAGACTTGCGTCCATAAATTTCAGCCTTCCTCACTTTTGTTTTTGCTGTTGACTCAAAAGAAGGAAAAAAAACCCAGTCTGAAGCGCTTCCAATTTTGCAAAAACTAGGAAAAAATTACTTCTTGACCCCAAAATAGCAGTCCAATATCTGCTTGGATCAAGCAGCTATTACCCCACAAATTAGAAGTTATATCCCTGTATGTTATGTTTTTGCAAGTATTTATCCAACTGCAGTTTAAACATCTGTATGGACTCTGATAAAACCATCTCTTTAGGCAGAGAATTCCATATCCTTATTGCTCTTACTTTTAAAAAAGAAACCTTTTTCTTTGCCTTAGATTAAATCTCATTTCTTCCAGCCTAAATGCATGACCTCGTGTCCTATGTATAGCCCTGTTTATGCATAGATTTCCAGATAATGGTTTGTACTGGCCCCGAATATATTTGTATAATATATCATATCCCCTCTGAAGCGCTGTTTTTCCAAACTAAAGATAATATTTTAACCTTTCTTCGTAACTAAAATGTTCATTCCTTTTAAGTGCCATGATAGCCTTCTTTAGACTAGGTGCCCAAAATTGCACAGCATATTCAAGGTGTGGTCTTGCCAGCAATTTATAAATAGGCAAAATATTTTTCATCCTGAGAATTTATGCCCCTATTTATACATGTCAATCTGCAGTTGCTAAAGTCAGTAAGGTTTTGTCATTGCATATTGCTGCCTTATTTGTTGTCTATAACAATTCTCAAATCCTTCTCGTGTGTGGTTATCCCTAATACCATTTAGGGTGTAAGTTGCTTGTGAATTCTTGACCCTGAATGCATAACTTTAAATTTAATGTAGAGAAATGCAATCTGCCATTTTAGTGCCCAGTCCCACAATCTATCCAAATCCTTCTGCATCAAAGCAATATCCTGCTCACATTTTATTACTTTACAAAGTTTTGTGCCATCTGCAAACACTAAAACATGGCTTTCAATGCCTATTTCAAGATCATTTATAAATATGTTAAATAGAAGCGGTCCCAAAACAGAACCCTGAGGGACACCACTTACTTTTGTCCAGCCTGAAAATGTACCATTAATGACAACTCGTACTTTATCCTTAAAAGACCACTATAATCACACAGACCACTTCAGCTCAATGAAGTGGTCTGGGTGTCAGGTCCCCCAGGTTTTAACCCTGCAGCTGTAATCATAGTAGTTTCAGAGAAAGTGCTATGTTTACATTTCAAGGTTAATCCAGCCTCACCTCCGCTAAAGGCGCTTCACCGACTCTCAATGTGAAAATCTGATTAAGTACGCAGAACGTCCATAGGAAAGCATTGAGAAATGCTTTCCTATGGGCGTTTTTAATGCGCGCGTGGCTCTTGCCACCCATGCGCATTCGGCTCCACTCGGGAGCTGATGTCAGAGGGGGAGGAGAGGTCACCAGCGCAACACTGGATTAAGGTAAGTGGCTCAAGGGCTTTTAACCCATTCAGCCCAGCAAGGGGGGGAGGGAGACTTAAGGATTATATAGTGTCAGGAAAACAAACTTGTTTTCCTGACACTATAGTGGTCCTTTAGGCCAATGTTCTACACAAGAACAAGAATATTCTTCTAAACCCTGATGTGGGTTTTATCATCGCCTTTTGCATAGATTCTAGCAAACAAGCAGATCAGAATACAGCTTGCTCAAGCATGTTTGCAAATAGAAGGGGAGTGGTAGGCACTGCTTTGTGCAACCTATATTGAGTACTGGTAGACTGGACCTACACCAAGAAAAAGGCAGCTTATTCTGCCTTAAAGGACCACTCTAGGCACCCAGACCACTTCAGCTTAATGAAGTGATCTGGGTGCCTGGTCCAGCTAGGGTTAACCCTTTTTTTTTTTTTTAATAAACATAGTTTCAGAGAAACTGCTATGTTTACACTGAGGGTTAATCCAGCCTCTAGCGGCTGTCTCATTGACAGCCGTTAGAGGCGCTTGCGTGCTTCTCACTGTGAAAATCAGTGAGAAGACGCCAGCATCCATAGGAAAGCATTGTAAATGCTTTCCTATGAACTGACTGAATGCATGCGCAGGAAGAGGAGGAGGAGAGCTCCCCGCCTGGTGCTGGAGAAAGTTAAGATTTTAACCCCTTCCTCTCCCCAGAGCACGGTGGGAGGGGGTCCCTGAGGGTGGGGGCATTATAGTGGTCCTTTAACACTAAACACTGGTAGACTGGACCTACACCAAGAATAATGCAGCTTATCCTGCCTTAACACTAAACAGGCAGTGTTTTGACTGTGGTAGAGCTTTAACTGTGACTTGGGAAAGACCTGATATTGGGTTGAAATGCCGTTTTGGGTTTGGTTTATTGTACCATAATCCTAATTTATGAAGAAGTTCTTAACACTCAATACATTTTCCCATCAGGCTTAAATGAACATTAGTCACGGTTAATAGCTTGTTAGACCCTGCAGAAGATTCCTGTATGTGTAGTGCTGCTATGTAAAACATGGACGTTCCAGCGAACTGCAATGTTTACATTGCAGTTCTAAGTCTGCCCTCAGTGACTGTCTAACAGACATCCACTGGAGGGCTTCCGGAATCCAAATGGACTTTTGGTCTGTTATCTGACGCCCTCACAGAACTCCATCATCAGATTTTCTCCATATTAAAGCATTGAATAACTCTTTCGGGGGGCGAGAGGGGGGGTTCTAAGGCACGCATGCACATTAGGTCGGTGGGGGAGGAGCATGGACGGAGCCTGACCCAGCGCTGAGGGACATCGCTGCTGGATTCAGGTAAGTGGCTGAAAGGGTTTTAACCCCTTCAACGACACGGGATGGGGGCACTCCAGGATTCTCTAACAAACAGGTTAGTTTTCCTAGCACTGGAGAATCCCTTTAAGCTAAAGTTGTTTTGTTGACTATGGTGTCCCTTTACCAGATTATCTGTGAAAGAAAAGTACAGCATCTGCTGCAAAACCTACCATTACTCTGCTACAGATTAAGTGGTGTTAGTCGGATTCTTGCCATCCATTCTGGAAATAGCGGCTTTTGGCAATTTCCTAACTTATAAATACTCTTACTGTCAGTGCAGCAAGACTGGAGAAGAGATGGATGGATAATGATGGATACTTTCTCTACCAGTTAGCAAAACAAAATCATTATAGAATGGGGTGCAATACACTTTCTCCAAAGCTCCTAGTCGTGTATGAGTGATGAGCAAATTCTCTGGTATTAACATGTAGGTAGTGGTACAGGAGTGTTGGATGCTCATCCACTTGGGCATGAAGTCCTAGTAGCACCAGTTAATTATGATCTTACCTATGTATACGATTTAAAAAGAAAAACACACACACACACACACACACCAGTTAATTATGATCTTACCTATGTATACGATTTAAAAAGAAAAACACACACACACACACACACAAACTAGTATTCTGTTGAGATGTAGCTGGTGTTTAAATCTTGTGGTAAACATAGGTAAAGCTGATGTAATGTTTGTGGTACTGATACGTGTACCGACATCCTGGAAAGCAATTTTTTTCCCCCTCTTTTCTGATCAGTTGGCATTTGCAAGTATTTATTTTAATTGCAAACTTACTTTGATCGTTCTCTACAGCCGTCTACCCTGTCTTCTGCTATAGCTGATCCCACCCACGCATTGTGGCTATGAAATACCTAAAGTTTTCGGCTTTGTCCCTGTCTGCAGATTTTATCCGCTTACACGAGTCCCCTTTAATGGCAGTGGCACATCTTTGCTCCCCAGCTGGAACCACAGCCGGTATAGATCTCACATCTAAAATCACCTCCCTATACTTTTACTGCTATTGTGTGAGTGAAGAAATTATGCCGTAACCCATACCTTGCCAAAAGGCAGCTGAGCACCTGATTGTCCAATTATTTCATGTGGCTGAAAATCTAGTGATGCCCATCATGTGTGCCAAGGCTTTCCTGGCATCATCACTATGGCATACTGTAGTGGTTATGGTGCTCAGAGTGTTCCTTTAAAACTAGTGCTAGACACAACAGGTTTGGTTTTAGTTCAGTCTACTATCTTGTAGAATTCCTTTCTGTTCTTAAAAAGCTGCTGAAAGTCACAAAATACTAGGGAGGGGGGAGGTAGGGATATTAAGTGGATATGTATCAAAAAATATTATATTCTTGCTAATCTACCCTATGCAATTTACCTAAAATGGAAGGTGCCCCTTTAATTATTAACCTCTGACCCACCACACACGAGTAACTGAATTGCCCTGGATTTGCTGAGATTTAGTAAATAATGCTCCCAGTCTAGCATTTTTTGATTAAGACGCCTTGCCTCACTTCATGTTTTGAGCCTGGGGGTAAGAGCCGTTGCAGATTTTGTCTGTAGATATTTGAATCTTGTTGCAGATCAAATTCCTCTTTATATGTTCT